GACAGGTTCCAATCAGCTATGCTGCGTAGGCCACTCCACGACCGATACTAGGGTTGCGAGCCCTAGGCAGGAGCCTCGTGTGATTCCGCTGATCACTCTCCTCACCACAACACCCCAGTGGCTAGTCTTCACCAGTCAGCCCCGGGTACGACAATTCCAGGTTCTGCCACGTCACAGACAGGCTAACACAAGAGTGTTCATCCGGGGGGGTTGACTCACAGCTTCTACAGCAAACACTTGGAGAGACTCTGGCTGCCTCGGGTAGACTGCCCATCGTCCAATCCAGCAGTCCCAGGTCGACTCTGTAATCAGACACGTCATCAGTACTGGTTACACTCTAGGGCACCTCACTTATAGGCTTAGACACAAACGCCCACCTGTCCACTCCATAGATGGCGTTGCTGTCTAAGCGTCACCTCACCAGAAGTCAGCAGCGGCTACGCTACGAGCTAATTAAGACGGAAAACCAGCCCCTGTGGCCGGTATATCTCGTCCTCATGCACTAGATGGCGTCGTCCATTTGGAGGGGGTTTCGGGAGCTGACCCACAGATGGCGCGGTCGTCACTGCTCTGTGCCCGGACGCTGGACTCGGGTCCGTAACAATGTTAGATATTAAGTCACTGCACATTCTCTCATGTGTATTATACATATATAAAACGCTGAACTGTAATGCCAATCCTGACCTCAAAAGCTTCATAGAAGGTTGTAACAGAACCCATGAGCACCACACCAGAAATAAATACAGTTTTGATATTCCTAGAGTACGACTTAATCAAACTAGAAATGCTCTACAAATCAAGGGACCCAGAATGTGGAATGACCTTCCCAACCATGTTAAAGACTGTTCCTCTCTCAACCAGTTTAAGATAAAAACGAAGCTCTACCTAATAAATTCTCTGTAACCTACCTTACCCCTCTATTGTCAACTCATGTCTTTTTTTTTAAACAACGCTGTTTGTCGACGTAATTGTATTTGTGCTGCTTTTTCAGCCATGTTCCCCCCTTTTTTATCTCTATTTTTATTTGTTCTCAACACATTTTATTCTTTATACTCGAATTAGTATTAAGCTTTAGTCATTTAAGTTTTTCATGCCCGAAACGCATTGCGTAATAGTGGCTTTAGGCATTGTATGCACTAGCTCTATCTATAAATCCATCATTCTTTGTAAAATCTCTTGTATGTATGTACCTTACCTAAATAACATTTATTTATTTATTTATTTATTTATTTATTTATTTATTTATTTATTTATTTAATTTCTACGTTGAGGGCCTCCCAAAGTTGAAGTGCCCCGGGCCCTCCAAGGTGTAAACTGGGCCGTGCGTGTACCAGGTGACATCCACAAACAAATGGTCTTGCATGTACAAACATAATTAACAGACTCACTATAACCTAACTATAGCAACTAGCCGCTAGCTCACACAACCATTAACTATAACGTGAGTGTAACAATGTGTAAACACCTCGGAGCAGGAAGCAGAGTAGAGCTGTATACGGTAGGTGGTAACCACCTCCAGCAGACGTCGCCTGGTGTGGTCATACTTTCCACCACCACCATCATTATATTTCCCTACTCAAATCCCTGACGTGATAGTTATCTTGAGAGGAGTTCCAGGCTAAGCGTCCCCGCGGCCCGGTCCTCAACCAGGCCTCCTCTTTGTTACACACCCCCAGGAAGCAGCTCGTAGCAGCTTGTCTAACTCCCAAGTATCCATTTACTGATAAAGGAACACTGGCATCAGGGTGAAAGAAGCTCTGCCCATTTGTTTCGGACTCCGCCGGGGATCGAACCCGGAACCTTAGGACTACGAACCCCGAGCGCTGTCCACTCAGCCGTCAGGCTCCTAAATAAACATAAGTTTGACGAGAAAACTGATCAATCATTATTAAAGGAAATGAGCATTTATTTAGGCTTGTTTTAATGTTCAGTTTAGTTCATTTATTGTGCACCCCATACCCATCCTGTGGGCGGTAGTGGAAAGGGTTACAGAGGCACATAATGGGCTCAGGGATTGAACCCCACAATTCATTAATTTAATGAAGTATCTGAATTTTATTAACTGTGTGTGCAAGAAAGGCCTGGCAGCGTGATGGACGAGCAAGTCGTTGATCATGTGTTCACTTTCTTAAGACTGCCGCCCGCTGCCAGCCGGTCCCACAACAGCTGACACACTTCCCCACACAACTGAACACAAACTTACAGCTCCGTTTACCGCCTTCGGCTTGGCTTCAACGGTTGCGGGGAGTTGTCAATGACTGTGATGACTTTATAGTTAACGATATATGGAGAACCCAGCGGTGCCCGGGTCCCTCGCTCCTTCATCCATCTTTTTCTCCTTCCCCCCCCCCCCGCCTCTTTTTTTTTTTATTAAGATGTAACATACTTGCTACAAGACCATTCCCACCAGACTTGGTCAAAGTTAGAGATGAGCCTTCTTACACTGTTCTCCACTTTGTCCAAAATTCTGATGAATGATGGAGAGTAGGCAATCCAGTGGCGTGCATGCTCAAGATGTCATTTTCATCTCTGAGCTCTAGGTTTTTACCACCCATTTGCGAGGCCGCCTTCTCGAACCGTTCGTCCTCTCTTCTTCCCTTTCTCTCTGAATTCTGGTGAGCCCACTCATGTGGACTCACCAGAATTCTTCTTATAAGCATAAGATACGCCAGTGAAAGGGTGGAGATGGCAGACTTGGCATCTCGCTTCAGGAAAAGTCAAACGATTCCAGTTTCAAGTTGAGGACGGCTTCCTCAAGCTTGTAGTGTATACACGTGTGGGAGAAGGTAGGATGGGCCTCACCGCAATCGAGGCAGCGAATCTGGGGAGAAGAGCAATCTGTCTTAAGAGTGGCCTTCGTCCCCACACATGGGGCATAGAGAAACAAGACTTGTGCATTTGAGGGCACCATGCCCGAACTTCCAGCACTTATTACAAAGTCTAGGAGAGGGAATGTACTCCTGAATGGAGCACCTGGCACTAGCATGAATGATAGAGGGCGGAAGGGTCCTACTATCGAAGGTGATTTCCCCAACTCAAAGGGGGCGATGGCGGCGACCACGAGGGTCGAGTGAACGTTTCCACCTGGAGGACAGGATGGCCTTGGGTTTCGAGGATATGTTTAATATCCTCATGGCAGTCTTTTAGGTCCCTAACACCAGTTGTAACATAGTGTGGGAAAACAGTGCCAACACTGGCATTTAACCGAGAGTTTTTGAAGACCCGAACAGGGGTCTCCTCAATGCAGGACAATGCGGCTAAGCGGGTAGCTGCATCTGGAGGAGCAGCAACGACACGTGTACCGAAACGGGTGGGATTAAAAGTAACAGGCATCTACTGAATCAACAAGGTGTTTATGGAGGGAGAAATCATCAGGTGTAGAATCCAGAGAGAGGAGTTCAAAGTATTTAGCCCACGAAGCAGGACCAAACAAGGCGTTGAATGTATTAGTATGGGATGAGATCTTGTGAGTGCGGCTATGGCGGGGACGGCGTTGGGAATCCCCAGAGAGAGAGATAGGGGGTAGAAATGCAGTAGTCACAATGAAAGACTGAGCCTTGTCAGAGGACGGGGTGGTAATCGCTGGGGGTTTGGGGCTCGACCCAACCACAGAGGAGGGAGGAGAGCCGAGAGGAGGAGTCAGGGGGGGGGGTCAGTGGAGGAGCTAGGTCTGGGTCCAATGTAGCGGGGGCTACAGAGCCTGGTCTTCCAACAAAGTCCAACTCAAGGGCTTGGTCACCCACCCAACAAGCCTGAGAAGTCACGAAGAACAGTATTCAGCGACATGAAAACGAGAGGTAATACAGTACTTTCATTCACGAATGTGTACCGGCTCCTACCTCCACACGGAGCCATATTAGAGGATAGGACATCCAACAAGAGACATGTTGCCAATCTTGCCAGGGGGCGTCGTGAGTATACTACCCACAATCGCCACCTTACGAACCTTCAGTCCGTCGAGATTGGGTTCAGTGACGAAAGACGGATCGACATTAAAAGCGTCCCCTCGCCGCGACGTTGGGTACCACAGTTTAACGGGTGAATGTGCCTCCCCACCTAGTGTTACATAGCCTTCCCAGCTTGGTGCCTTCTTTGATAATTACTTACTTACTCCCCAAACACCCGGGTGTCAAAACAGAAGATGTCCAAAAGAAGAATCAAGACGGGCAAAAGGTCAGCGGGGAAATGACAATTAGATAGAAAGGGGGAACAAAAATTAAACATAAGGAAAAGAATTTCAACATAATTAGTGAAGACAGCAGCAGGAGCATAAGGCTTCAAAAGGACAGAGGACTGTCCCATGGATCATTCCACTCCCACAAGCCCCCTCATGACGACAACGGGCTGAAAAGAAGTAAAGGGCCGGAAAGAGAGAGGGAAGCATAATAAAAACATGTTGACACAACACCACGAGCAAAATGACTGATATATCAGCTAGGAAACTCTAGTAGATAGCTGCATGGCCACTGGGTGGCACAGGTATAACTAGCAAATAAACTAATTTAAGATCAAGTATTTCATTTTGCTGTCTTCACATTTTGTTTACCCTTGCTGTTGTTTGAAATATCTTTCTCACCTTTCTGATGGCCTTTTCTTTGTACGAATGATTGTGTATCCTCAGCTCCCTGTTCCTCTATAAAGGGGGCCAAGTTTTTGCCTCTGGTTCCCTGTAGGCCTAAATGACTCGCATGTGCCTGGCATGAATTGAACTGAGTAGAGCTTATCCAGGTACCTAGCAACAGGAAACCCTCATAAGAGCTCTTCCCCCCCCCCCCCCCCCCCCAAAAAAAAATCTGGCACTCAGACTCCTACTTTTCGGCCAAAAAAGAAACCTCAGGCCACGCTCAACTGCCTAAGTATTTGGCCAGAAGGGAGCTCCACAATCCACTACACAACCCTCTGGCTAAACAGATCACACAAAACAAAGCTGTTCTCAGGGGGGAAGGCTGTACATGGAGTTGATCAAGATCATAATAAGGAACTACCATTTAAAAAACAAAACAATGGATCATTTATTAAATTAACCTGAAGTATATGACAGTAACACACACATGGTTTATTCTTCCTTTTGAATGAAACATTCAGGAACTTGTCATCTCTGTGCAAAATGGCTTTCTAAATAACAAATATTTGCATATTAAACTTCCCTACTGCATTAAGAATAAAATATATGTAAATATTATTCTGTAGTTCCTATAGGGCCATTAATGTAAAATATAACACACTTATATACCACTGCAATAATCTTATAATTGTATATTGAGTTACGATTACACACACACGTGTATCCATACATGCATGGACATATAAATGTATTTGTATTGTATTTTTTAACTTATGAAATCATGCATATGGTTGAATATATTGAACAAATTGAATTTACTTACCTGCATTGTTTCCATTCTGGGGAATTTTTTTTTAGCTACTAAATTTAATACCAACTTTCAATCATTCTACATAATTTTGTATGTATATTGTTATTCTGTATTTCATTAAAACTCCATTCACCATTCTCCAATATTACTGTAAACGTAATTGGTAATTATTATTTACATGATTACTAAATCAACACATCCCAACAATACAATAGTGTGAGGGACAAGGGAGGCAGGCAATGAATTGAATACAATGCTGCTCTCCTCCACCTGATGATCAATGAGAACTGGCAGCATGTGTATGGTAAAGATTTAACTTGCTTGCTTCGTTCAGTATAAAAAACAGACCAAAGTTACTATATGGAATACTATACATGTATGTACATGTGTCTGTGTATGTACTGTACTGGCAAAAATATAACAGGTTAAAAAAAAAAAAAAACTTAAAATTTTGCTACCTAATACTACTTATCAACCTTTACTATATAAGATAATGGGTATAGGGAAAGGAAATAAGTGTTTTATTGATATAAAAACAATTACTGCAAACACGCAACATTCATACTGGCAGCCTTGTCCTAATGTGTCAACATTTCATCTTGCTCCTCCTAAGTCAAATCAGAAAGTATCCAGATCACACACTCAATAATAATAATATTAATAATAATAATGATAAAAATAATAATAAAACACTTGTTCACATAAGAATTGCACTTGCAAATAAAAATATAAATAAATCTATATCGTTAATGATATGGAATTTAAGAATAGCTAATCCTTACAAATGTCTCAAAGAGCAACACAGATGTGCTGTACATTGTTTAAACATGTACAACAACATATTGATACCAAACTTCAGATTTTGCATGTTAAGTTTCACCCCTTACCAAAAAATTGCAGGCATTAAATTTTCCTAATAAAACCTTCCCCTCTTAGCATTCCAGTTGTCTCCTCCCCCTCTTGACCTCTTTTCACCACGTCCACCCCATCCATTTCCCCCTCCATAGCCACCCCTGCCTCCTCTTCCTCGGCCACTACTCCATGCATAATCCCGTCCCCCTCTGTAACCTCCATGATCACCGCCAGTGTTAAAGGATTCTCTCCCTCCACCTCTATTCTGTCGCCAATAAGATCCAGCATTATCATGTCCTCTCCACGATCCTCGGAATCCTGAAGGTTTCCACGAGCCTCTGTCTTCCCAGCTCCCTCTTCTATCAGACCCCCGCCGTGGTCCCCCTCTTCTTCGGGATGGCCCTCGTCTACTACCAAAATCTCTGCTTTTTTGGATGTAGTTTCCTGGTTGATTGAGCGTTGCCTGGAACTTAAAACAAAATGCAAATTGTTAAAATTAATTTTATGTCAAAGAATGGAGAAATATATGAAGAGCAAGATGTGAAACTAAACCAGGCAATAAATACCTTGAACACACAAGCAAATAGCAAAATAATAGCAAAACAAATACAAAAAAAAACAGCATTGGATGAATGAAATGGCAATTTCTGGAGGAGCCCCGGTAGCTTCCTAAAGATGGCTTTTTAATAAAAGATCACATCAGCCGTAGAATTATGAGGTCACTCTTTGACCTACCAGGGACCAGAACCTGGCCCCCTCACAGGCACAGAGAGCAGGTGACACTCTGCCACTTCACCAGAAAGTCAGTGCAGCGTTACACACATCTGAGGGTTCACAGAAAACAATGCCTCGAAAACTGATGAACTACTGCAAACGAGTCACATGAAACAAGGGATTCACTGAAACGAGCAGGAAACTCGTTGGTACCGATTACCATCGCCAGGCGGTCCAGTCGCAGTTCTCAGCTGGATCCCTGTAGCATACATGGAAAGGGTTCTGGGAGTTCTTCTACTCCCCAAGCCCACCTGAGGCCAGGTTCAAATTGTGATAACTTGGTACACATGCATGGTACACGTTGCTTGGAGCGGCCCGCAGGCCCACATATCCACTACAGCCTGGTCGGTCAGCATTTCTTGCAAGAACTGAACTTGACCTCTGTCAGTTCTTGATCCGAAGAACAAAGCCACAACAGACAAACCTGGAGGGGTAGGAGTGGAGGCACGGTACCAGTGGGGCTCTACCCGAAAGAAGCATTACATTACCTTCAACGGTGGATTTTTCATCTCTATCATGGCTCGTTTTTCTTGAGTGTGTTGCTAGATTCTTGAGTCTATTTTCGGTATCCAATAAAGAAAGAAATTGAAAAATCAAACAAAAAATAAATGCTCTTATTTTTATTACTGTTTAAATCTCGTTCCATTTTCTAACTACTTACCTGATGAAAAAAGCTGAATGTACACACCTACATAATGTTTATATACTGTGGGAGATGACGTTTTCATTCACCGTGAGTGTGAGAGGATTGCTAATGCATGTCGAGGGGAAGGCTTTGCTTGAACACCAAGGTACCTGGTAGTGTCAAAACACTGAACATCAACCCAAAGTGACACCAGATGAGCAGCTGATTCCCAGTGACAATGTCCATGGAGGGTATGACACAGCAGCCTCAACATGACAGTAAGACTAGCTTAAGGGTGCATAGCCTCATTTCCCACAGGCAGGTGGCAGCACACAAAAAACAAGCGTTGAATGTAATGAAACGCCATTTTCTGGGTGAGCCCTGGAGCATTAGTCTATGGAGTTCTGCCTACCGGGGACCACTAGCCAGAACATGGCCCCTTCAGAGAGGCGCAGGAAGCAATAGCCCTGGAACCTCCCCCCCTTCCCCCGGGGTTGGGGGTTAACCTTATTTGCCACTGACAGGGGTTAGGCACCCAGCAAGGTAGGCATAACAAAAAAAACAACAACATGGTAAGAAAATTACAATAAAAAACTGAAGAGAGAGAGAACTCCCTCAATTCCCAAGCAAACGTCACACTCCATCACCGTGTCACTCATCTGCGCAGCTCTACCCCCAGGGGCGGGTGGGGAGAACCCCGGACCCAGTGCACTGGTGACCCAACCATTCGCAGTTCGGAGGCTAAGCATCAAACATGGGAGAACTGCTGACCAGAGGGAGGGAGGGAGGGTGGGTTGCCAGGGATTATCTTGAGATGATGATTTCGGGGCTTTTTTTAGTGTCCCCGCGGCCTGGTCCTTGACCAGGCCTCCACCCCCAGGAAGCAGCCCGTGACAGCTGACTAACACCCAGGTACCTATTTTACTGCTAGGTAACAGGGGCATAGGGTGAAAGAAACTCTGCCCATTGTTTCTCCCCGGCGCCTGGGATCGAACCCAGGACCACAGGATCACAAGTCTAGCGTGCTGTCCGCTCGGCCGACCGGCTCCAGGGAGCCTCCAGGGTTCACACAGAAAATGCCTTTCATTACATTCAACGTTGGTTTTCTGTGGGGAGCCCCTACGGCTCCCTGGAGCTACATAACCAAAGATAAGGAAAAGAGGGACTTACCTGTTGGAAATAACCAACAGTCTCATACATTTCTTGTATTTTTATACAACATTTGTATTAACCCAAGTGGTTACTAAAAATTACTAACTTGTAGAATTTATCATCATGATTTATAATAGCTATATAGCCAGATTTTTTCTAGTCAGAGTGACGACGTGAGGAACGACAGGCTGAAACATGAATTTTTCTACATTTAGTTGGATTTATAACAAAGTCCAGTTTATCATTTCCTTTACTAAGGATAATTACTTACTAATAAGTTTACTTCGTAGCACACTACTGCTTACTGGAACTCCCTTATTTAGTTGATATTAAACATTCCAGTGGAAATTATTTGAATGTAAAATAATTCCACTTCACATTCCTCATTTATTTACGTAGCTTTAATAAGTTGACTCACACAATGAGGAGTTGTATTATAACATGGAAGAATTAACCCTTAAATGGTGCCTGGCTATTTAGCATGTGTCACCCGCAGGCGCATAAAAAAAAAAAAAAAAAAAAAAAAAAAAAAAAAAAAAAAAATCTTCTAAATCTGTTAATTTGTGTTCACTGATCATGGGAAAAATAATAGTGTGTAGTGTGATTATATCTATATAATAAAATGAGTGAATCATCGCTGTACTCAAAAATATGGTCTGCATATTGTTGATTCAATTATGTTCATCAAACAGTGAAAAAATACTTTGTCGGTTATAACACTAAATACACAGGTTATATATAAGTATCTGCATGTTTTGTTCACCATAACGAACCACTAAGTTGCTATTATGAGCCAAAAAGTAACGAGGAGTGACCACCACACACCAGCCAGCCACTCGCTGCCACTCACTCCCTCAACACCTCACTCGCAAACATATTCCTCCCACCATACTGTTTTTGCTTTTATATACAGACGTTATATATAAGTATTTACATGTTTTGTTCACCATAACAGTACATCTAAGCTTGTATGGTGAGTAAAGGCACAAAGACGTAGGTACTCACACAGTCAGCTGGTGGCGGCCGCCCTCAAGGCCAGACGCACTAATATTTCTCCTCCAACAATACTGTTTGTGGTGTTATTACGATATATACACACATTATATACAAGTATCTACCTGTTTTATTCACCATACTTGTACAAGTAAACTGGTATGGTGCCCAAAGACCATAGTGGTAACCAGTACACAACATGATAAGTCGTGCAGACGACGCCACCTCCCTCACCAAAATGGCGGCTCCCAACATACTCCTATTGCTGTTTATACCCTCTATACACACGTTATATATATAAGTATCTACATTTAAGTTCACCATAGCGAACCACTAAGCTGGTATGGTGAGTGCAGTCAATAAAAGGTGGCCACACACAGTCAGAAGACAACGCCACCACTCTCCCTCCCACAGCATTACTCCTCCCTCCATGGAGCACAGCGCTAAATATCACCACAATCCTGCTATTATCAGAACCCTGGTCAGTTTTATCACAGTCAGGGGTCTTCAGTAATAATATCAGCTACATAATAGCATGAACAAGTATATTATGGCATTTTTAGGCGATGCTGTGGTCACAAGCTGAACATCAGTGCTGTGAGCTCATGTTGCGTACATCAGGCTTGGTTGCTCACTCAATATTGAGGCCCGTAACACCAGGGAATTTATTATTCACGATTAAAAAAAAAAATGGCGTCTGTTTACAAGAGCCCTGATGAAGGTATGGTGAACCCCGTGTATCCGCGGGCCGTTTAAATCTTGCGTAGTACTCCAAAGCATCAGCAGAGGCCTTGTCGACGACCGGGCCGCGGGGACGCTAAGCCCCGGAAGCACCTCAAGGTAACCTCAAGGTATCATATGATGCGGAGCACAATTTACTGCAAGTCACTCAACGCATCATATGATGTCTAGCGCAACTAAAGGGTTAAACGTGACATAAATACTCATCACAATCTCTTCTTTCTTTAGTTAATTCTGACATATATAAATCCATTTACGCTCGAGATGCCTATGAAGAGACACGCATGCACAATTGGTAGGAGGAAGATGCGAAAGCGTCGCTAGCCACCACGCGAGAGACACGCCATTAACAACGTGCCTCTACACGAGAGAGACGTCATTAACAGCGTACCACAGAACGCATCAACACCTGCCTCTCTGATGCCATTACACGGAAGCGTGGGCAACTATCTTGCCAAGTTATTGTGTTGCAGAACTTCTACTTAACGACTCATAGTTACGTCATCCTAGCATCAGCGGGTGCCAAAGTTCGTGGAGGTCTACATCTGCATACAAACACAATTCCGGGCGAGCCTAATTCCAGTTCCTACTGATGTTTGCTATACAAGTGCACTTAGTAACATTTTACATATGTTAGTTGCTCATTCATTATGCCAAGCTACAACCAATAAACCAAAGTTAGTTGAGTAGAATCTAGACTCTTACTTCTCAATGAGAAATAGTAATATTAACGAGTCTAGACATCCTTTACTTTTAATTTACCTTTCAGCTTGACTGGGAGCGGCGTGAAGGAGAAGAATTAATTTCATTCCATGTGCTTGTTCGACAACGCGTTGCAACAAGTGTGCTGTCATTATCGCCCCACACGTTTCCAACTAATTCAGTCGAACAGCTAAGCTGACCTGATTTTCTAAGTGTTGTATTAGATATACTAACATCTAGTTACATGAATGATTTCTTCCAATTTGCCATTTACTTGTCATTTATGAAAGTTACACTATTTACTAACTACATTTATTTGATTTATATATGAACCATAATTTGAATTTGCATACATATTTCTTTCTGACGATTGAACCAGTGTCGGATTATTGGTGCTAGAACGTAATTGTATCCTAGCGCTCGTACCCCCCCCCCCCAATTTGTGAAAGTTAATTTGACTCTTATTTCATGATAAATACAGTTTCACTAAGATCCATAGGACACTAGTTCTTGGTATCAATCTATCAATCTTAATCCACTTGCTCCTTTTTGTTTTCCACTTTTTCTCAAAAAGTGGTGGTCCTTCGTAGCTATTGAAGTCTCTTTTCATTTAATTACAAATATTGGAGTCAGATTTTCCCACATTACCCGGGAGGTGAGTGCCACACACTCCTCAACTCGAAGTCGAGACAACTGGCTGCAACCTGAGACCCAAAGCAACACACAAATGCCCAGGAGCAGGAACGTTAACCAAATATTGGGTGGCCCGGACACTATTCGACCTCCAAAATCTCCGTGGCCAAATATCAGCCCAAGACATGCTGCCAAACATGGCAGCCAACGTAGCAAACTTCCTAACGTCATGGGTACGAGGATAGACCCCTGGCTGGCTAGACTTAATAACCCTGCGAACGACCCGCACCCTGGAACAGGGAACGAAGGAAAATTGATCAATCCAAAGCGTATTCCCAGCCACAGAAACTGAGGCACGCAGATAACAGCGAAGAACCGGACACAACACATGATGCACCCCCAGCCTGACCAACCTAGTATCCAAGGACCCCTCTGTAAAGCAGCCATCTTGTTCTTTGCCAGAAAAGAAGGAGAAGGCTGCAACAGAACAAACTGACTACCAGGACTGAAAGAGCAGAAGCCACTGTGCTGGAAAAGAGCATGAAGCTCAATGACCCAACCCCTAGAGGCCAATGCCAAAAGAAACAGGGAATTGGAAAAACAAACTTGAACTGAAGGGGCCACCACGAACCGAGCAAAGAAAGGAGAGGAAAGAAAGGAGAGCATCCTGTCCAATTACCAGGACGGCTCAGGTGGCGCATGAGCCGACCGAAGGTGAAACAAAGCATGAAAAACTTAAGGAACAAGGCAGAAGTGACATCCACCCCGAACTCAAGCTGGAGTGGCGCTGCCAGTGGCGCACGATACGAGGCAACAGTATTAGCCATTAGGCATTAAATGACGGTCCTGAAAAAGCCAAGACAGAAAGGACAAGACAACCTGATCAGAAATAAAAGATTACCAACGAAGATAGAGAAAATGGCAGAAAGAACGCCAGGAAACTTCATACTGTCACAGAGAGGAAGTTCTCAGGTGGGACACCATCAACGAAGCCACCTGATCACCATACAAAGGGTGATAAACCCAAGTAAAAAATACCAGACACAAACAGTGGAGAAGCCGGAACCAGCAGTGTACCGGATCGGTCTGCCCTGCTGAAAGAGGCGGAGCCGTGGAAAACGCACCAGGATCGGACATCAAGCAGGCAGCATCTGAAACCAGGGCTGGTCCGGCCACCAAGAGACCACAAAAACTACTTTCCCACTGAAGAACTCCAACCGAGCAAGTGTCTGAGTGCAGGAACCCTAGTACTCCACCTAAGTTTGTGAAGGTACCTGTTCCCCAGTCTGAAAAGCGTGGGTGGCAAGGTGGATCCTGTCATATGGGCAGCAGGTGATTCTGAGGACTCCTGGTTCTACTAAACTCTACTAAGGTAATGGAGCACCTCTGGGAGTTGGCTGGAATCCCTTTCATAGCACAAATGCACATTAACCACTGGACTGCGCCAAACGAGAAAACTCGGTCGGTGGGAAACTGTGCCAACTGAGAAAACTCTTTTTGATTTTTTCGTACCCATTCAAAATGTGTGCGTAGTTGGTTGAGTACGAAATGGACTTTTAGGACCTCCAGTGAGAGGCAGCCATCTTGGAAAAAATTCCCAGAATGCCCTAAGGCTGCTGGCTGGGTTAGTAGTGAGTGAGCAAACATGGGTGGCGCACGCACCTCTGGCTCCCAAACACCTGTCCGACTCTGTGTTGAAAGATTGCGCTCTGTCGGTGAAATTCAAATCTCATTGTTTGAAGAACATAAGGGTCATGATATTGGTGAAGCTAAGCACAATAAGGACCTAACACAAAGGTCGGATGCAAGTAATACAGCACCTATGAGGACGATACAGCGAGCGTATCCAGTTGTAGCTCTGAGCGCCACCCTTGCCCACCTATGCCATCTCCAATTTATATAAATGATACATAGATGAATCGTTTTCTGTGTTCAGTAATGATGTATCTAATACAAGTAGCATAGATGAACAGTGTTAGCGGCTTCCATGGTGGTGTTTTCCATAGATATTTTCAAGAATAGCTGAATCTCTTCCAGATTGACTCTCACTCTTTGAGGGTGGCTGAATCTCTTCCTGTGTGGGACCTTACAAAGCGATCTTTTCAAGACTATCTTACATATTGATCGTTTCCTATAATCTTTTCAAGACTACCTTACATATTAATTTTTTCCTATAATCTTTTCAATACTACCTTATGCTTTACAAGCTTGGTTACATATCAACTACAGGTACTAAAGCCGAGGGTGTACGTGAGTGCGTTATTTGCAAGCACACAGAACGAAGAAACAGTAAGCGAAAATCTATCTGAACCTGGTGTAACGAGAGCAAAGTCGCGCTGTATACCATGAACTACTTCGTTAATTATTACTCACTTACGAAGTACTGAGTGTATAATACAATGTGTTACTGTGTAGTGTGTGAAACTGTACATATTGTAATTTTAGTGAATTTTTAACAAGTAATATTGTGACAAACATTTATTGCAGACACATTACTGACACATGTATCGCATTGCCATGGAACATTATGAACATTCTACTGTATACATATTGTAAAGGACACAAATATGCATCATATACTATATAAAAAAAATAAAACCGCATTGGAAATACATGGAACAAATATTTGAAAATATATTTGTGGTATTACGCGGTGCTTGAATAGCGCGCGCGACTGTGTCTGGGAGCTTCACACACGGGCGACCAGCCCCTGATGACGTCACAGCGCACCTTGTCCACGTCCCCACAGCCAAAGTGGAATTTGGCATTTATTTTTTTACACAGACATGTTCAGGAAACGGAATTTATCATTTTACAAATAACTTTTTTTTTTGGGGGGGGGGGGACCACTTGATTTCATGCGCACATGGAATTTCACAATATACTCGGCGTATCACAGTGGTTAAAGGGGGAAACATGCCCCATGTTAGCAACAGGTACCCACCTTGGAACCTTCTCAGAAACATTATTGCTTTTTAAACATTAGATACAGGTAGGTTAGATGACTACAAAGAACATAGTATTTGTATCCATAAGAGCATAATTCTAATTTATGGCTGATATTGTGTCAACTGGCAAAACATGTCTTCATGGTAAGTCATCACTCAGCAATATGTAATAACTGGATATTGTATACATACAATAAGCATATGACTTCAATGATGATATTCACCTGGCATTAGAGTGAGATTGTAAATTATTACTAACCTGGGATGAGGTATCCATCTTGAGCAGTTCTCTAAGTGCCACTGTAGCATATGACGATGCTGGAAGTGTCATCTCTACAATCACAGCTTTATTAGGACCCTCTGTTAATACAAAACAATTATGATAAATGTTTGCTTCATAACATATGCACACAAACCTTACTTAATGAATACTTAAACTACAAAGATTTGTTATTATGTATACCTTTATTGTATAAAATTATTAGGTGGGGTATCTACCTGTGTCTGGGTTTCTCTCCACCTCCCCTCTTTCATATCTCTTGCCCAATCCCCCCTTTTCTCCATCTCCCAAACATACCTCTCTCCACCCTATATCCTCCCCTTTCTCCCAATCTCCAGCTGTCTCCCAAGTCTCCCCCTTCTCTCTCATCTATCTTCCCTTAACCACTCTCTCTCTTCCCCTCCCCCACCATCTCCCAACTGCCCTCTTTCCCAGAAAATTTAATATTACAAAGTACTGAAAATTCTATGGAAAACACACATCAGAATTCAGACCACAAAAAAACAGCTTCAATGAAATGAAAAGCAATTTTCTGGGTGTCCCCCGGAGGCTCCCCGGAGCTATCCAGGCTGAATGGATATGTATAACTTTCTGGCATCAGTCAATGTGCTTGGAGTTCTTGCTCGTGGTCCCCGGTAGGCAAGAACCTGGCCTCCTCAGAAAGGCATGAGGAGCAATGGCCTATAGAAACACCCCCCCCCTGTGGTTGGGAGTATTCTATGTCTGCCATCGCTCGGGACATGCACCCAGAAAGGTAGGCGCCTCAAAACAAACCCCTATTCTGGTGAAAATATTGCTACTGAAAGCCGAACAAGTGAACAGAACTCCCCCCTCCTCCCCCCCCCAAAAAATTAGCAAACTAGCATGACGTCATCACGTCGCCGCCGTCTGCGCAACCCCCAACGCCAGGATCCAACCGGCAGTTCTTAGGCTGGGTGTCAAAATGTGCGAAAAACACTGCCGACTGGAGGGAGAGAGGGATACCAAGGAGCCTCCAGGACTCACCCAGAAAATGGCGTATCATTACATTCAACGCTGGTTTTCTGGGGGGAGGGGGAAAGCCCCGTTGGCTCCCTGGAGCTACCTCCCCAAAGATAAGGAAAGGAGGGAAGGAACCGGGAGGTGGATGCCACGCGCCTTAACCCACAAACAAGACCACAGACCAAACCAAAGAACCCTTCAGATGACCCGGGAGACCCGAACCCCAGAACAGGAAGGAAGGGAACCCGGGCAAACCAAAACGTGCCCACGACCCCAGAGGCCAAGACGCGCAGAGAACAGCAAAGAGCCGCAACAGGACAACACAAGAAGTACCCCCGGCCTGACCAACCAAACAGCAACCTAAGGACCCCTCCGGAAAACAGCAGACCCAAACATCACCCGAAAAGGAGACTGTAGCAAACGAACAATCTACCACTAGGACCAAACGAACAGAAAAAACACCGGCACAGGAGGAGAGCCGGAAACTCCCCGACCCAACCCCCAGAGGTCAATGCCAACAGGAAAAAGAGACCCGAAAAACAAAACAAAACAAAAAAACTTACCAGAACTGAAAAGGTCACGACAAACCAAGGAGAAGAAAGAAAATAGACCACCCGGGCCAACGACCAGGATGGCACTGGAAGGGCATGAGCAGGTCAGAGATGAAACAACGCAGTAGACAGCAAGTAGAACGGATCAAAAGGAACAGCAACACCAAGCGCAAGCTGGAGCGGCCCTGCCAGTGCCACCAGATACGAGGCGACAGTATACGGCACCAGACGGGAGGGAGGGAGGGATGCTGGGGAGCCTCCGTGACTCACCCAGAAAATGGAGTTTCATTACATTCAACGCTGGTTTTCTGGGGGGAGCCCCTATGGCTCCCCGGAGTTAACTACCCACAGAGGAAAGAATAGGGATTTAACTGGGAGGCAGTTGCTGCTCATTCCTCAACCTGAAGTCAAGACAACTGGCTGCATTCGCCGACCCAAAGCGACATAGGCTCGACTGGCCCCAGGAACGTTATTAAGGTAACGAGCAGCCAGGATCCTGTTCGACCGCCAAAATCCCCGTACCCAAATGTCAGTCCAGGATATATTGCCAAAGACAGCGGCAAGAGCAGCGAACTTACGGACGTCATGGGCACGGGAATAGACCACAGGCTGGCTAGCCTTAACCCTTGTGTTGCTCAGGGCTAATTAACATTTGTCACCCATAGGCGCATAAAAAAATCTTCTAAACCTGTTAATTTATGTTCTTTGATCATGGGAAAAATAATAAACAAATCGTAAGTGGCATATATTGCCCGCTATAGGGCGGGGAAGTCTGGCAAAAAACAGGCGCTGACTCAGTGTGAGTCCCAGGCGGTCTGCTCCTCCCCAGCTGTCAGGCAGGAGTGGCCACAAAGAGATAATTACTTAATTATTTCAATGTCTCTGATTGACTTTTCGTAGTTTTTTGCTGTAATATTATTCAGTAGTGTGTAGTGTGATATATTTATATAATAAAATGTGTGAATCATCGCTGTACTCAAAATTATGGTGTGCATATTATTGATTCAATTATTATGTTCATCAATCAGTGAATAAATACTTTGTCGGTTATTACACTATATATACTGGTTCTATATAAGTATCTGAATGTTTTGTTCACCATAACGAACCACTAAGTTGGTATTGTGTGTCAAAAAGCAACGAGGTGTGACCGCCACACACCAGCCAGCCACTTGCTGCCACTCACCCCCTCAACACCTCACTCGCCCACATTCTCCTCCCACCATACTGTTTTTGCTTTTATCAACTATATACAGACGTTATGTATAAGTATCTACATTCGTGTTCACCACAATGAACCACTAAGTTGGTATGCTGAGTGGCAGTGGCAGCCCGCCACTGGCTGCCACTTCCTCTCTCCCTCCCCTCACCTCACCTGACCCGCCACCATTCTCCTCCCACAATACTGTTTTTGCTTTTATTCACTATATACAGACGTTATATATAAGTATCTGCATGTTTTGTTCACCATAGCGAACAACTAAGCTGGTATAATGAGTCCAGACAGTAAAAGATGGTCACACAAAGTCAGCAGACAATGCTACCTCCCTCCCCAAGATTACTCCTATCACTAAAGCGCGAATTATCACAAGAATCCTGCTATTATCAGAATCCTGGTACTTTTTATCACAATCAGGGGTCTTCTGTACTACTATCATCGCTAAATAATAGCATGAACATACAGATTATGGCATTTTGATCATCTTGCCTCTTGACTCCCTGTGGTACCAGAGCATTGGGCACATAAGGCTACTAAGGGTCAGTTAGGAAACGCAATATGCTGAGACCTATCAATGGTCACAAAGAGTGTAGCTTCCAACATGGTTTCCAGCAATGATCTATGTATTGTACTGTATTTTGGGATTAGTTGTGGAGTTTTGTTTAAGAGAAAACCAATGATGAAATAGTTAAACAAGGTTCAATACAGTAAACCTTGCTGTATCAAGTGTTACACATCACTCTCATGAACAAGCCAATGAAGAATAAGTATTGAATATAACAGAAATTATTGTACAATATTCATATGAATTTCTAACAACAGTACATTTAAATGAGATGGGGGCTGCAGAACTCACCTGCTAATATATTATCTGTAATATCAATATCCCGTAACTTGTCCATGTCTGATAGGATGAGAGCTTTACTATTATCTTTGTAGTAACATATTGTACCATTGACATTTGCTGGACGAACAATCAATCGCCGATATGCTCCACCGACTGCATATGATCTAATAACGAATGAAAGTAGAAATGTGTGAAAACATATTCAATAATCATATAAAGATATCATGTACCATACAGAAGCTGGAACTTTTGGAAATACAATAAAAAAACAATAATGTACTGTAATAAACACTTAGCATTGAATGAAATGAAACATCTCTTTCTGGTAGAGCCTCGGTGACTCCCTGAAGCTATCTCACTGACATTGCTGAAGTTACTGCAGTTCTGTTTAACCTAAGACTGGAGACCAGAGTCAGAACCTGGCCCCCGTCACAGAGGCACAGACAGCAAATTTCACCAAGAAAGCGTCCAGCAAGTCAGTAAAGCTTTACAGAGTACTGCTGGCTTCAGGAAACGTGAAGCCTCAAAAAACCGGAGTTGAATGTAATGAAACGCCATTTTCTGGGTGAGTTCCAGGGGCTCCCCGGAGCTATCCAGGCTGATATGATTATCCCTAACTTTGGCATCAGTCAATGTGGGTTGAGTTCTAGGCCTACCGGGGACCACGAGCCAGAACCTGGCTCCCCCTCAGAGAGGCACGAGGAGCAATTGCCTATAGAAATGCACATGTAATTGAGAAGCACTCCATATCTGCCATCGACAGGGACTGGCACCCAGAAAGATAAACGCCCCAAAACAAACCCCTATTCTGGTTAAAAACGACGAAAATAGACAAGTGGACAGAACTCCCCAAATGAAAACAAGCAAACATGCATGACATCACACAAGCCATGCCGCTAGTATACGCAGCTCCCTCCCCTTCCCGGGAGGGGAAAAGGGGAGCCCCAGACCCACTCTTCGGCTCCCTGGAGCTACTTCACCAAAGACTAAAACAGAGGGACTTACCCGGGAGGCGGCCGGTGCTCACATCTCAACTCAAAGTCGAGACAACTGGTTACAACTGCTGACCCAAAGTGACACAGTCCCAACTAGGCCCAGAAACATTAACGAGGAAGCATGCAACCAGGACCCTGTTCATACCAAATCCAACTCGTATGAGGCGGGGAGAAAAAAAAAAACACCCTTGTAACAAGAAACCTCGCTTAGAGAGCACAAAACCCAAGCAGGGCCAACAGGGCCCAAGACCTCCAGGATCAAGACACCCCCTCGCCCCGGGAACCCATACATCAGGACCCAGAGCCGAACCGTCCCCCAAAGCCCCGGCCTCACAAGAAAAAGCCGGGGCAGCCGTAAAAGCAGGAAGGAAGGGGGGCCCACTGGTCAGACCCAGACATTTCGGCAGGAGGAACCGGCTCGAATGCCTCCGTCGTCACCCCGGAAGGGGCATCCCCAAGACCGCCCAAGTCTTGAAACCAACTAAATCCTGCCCCCGACTCCGAAACCCTCAGACGTTTCAGAGCCTGAAGCAGGGAGAGAGGGTGGGGAGGACCAGGACGAACCACAGCAGGGTAAGGACGAGGGGGCGTGGACTAAACCAAAGTCAAAGTGACTTTGGTTTGGTTCAAAGTTAGTCAAAGTGACTAACACCCCCAAGTCTGGGTCCCAATAACCAAAACGAGGCAGCCTTGGGACTTCCGGGTCAGCAACCAACCTTGCTCGCTACAGCAACCTAAAACAAGCGTGCAACGCCTATGCTGCCTGCACTCGAATAGTCATCAGAGGACTAGGTGTACCGAGTTACAAACAAGCAACAAGACACGCTGGACTCTGGGTCGAAGATATCACTGACCCAGCAGGCAGCATGACGGAGGCATAAACGGTGAAGGTCACCCAGAGACAAGGGAACCAAGCAACCCTCAAACTTGCACAAAGTGAGGGGATACCCAGGGGTCACATCCATTGGACCCACACACCCACACGGGGTTTCCCTGAGTCCTGAGAGGGAACTCACACTCGGGGAAGCCCAGGCAGGGTACTGCTAACTGGCGCCCAATATTACCAACAAACTGCTAAAGCTGAACCCCCGGGACATGTCCACTCATAGGGCCCCCCAGCAGGGGACCACCAACAACAATAGGGGGTAACCAAAACCAAGGGCAAAACCCCTACCAGGAGGCAGGAAACAAAAAACAAAAATCCACAAGAGGACAACGGACTCAGACGGAACAGAGCCGGGCGCTATGAGAGGTGAAAACTAGCTGCGCAGTACCCTGTGCAGTATCAGTGCAAACTTCCCCTACCCAAGGGCAAACAAAGGTGAAACACCTAAGCACACTAAGGATGGTCAATCACCAAGAAGCAAAGAACCAACCAGAGATAGCTCCCAAGGTGACTTGTGGAAGGTGGCCCCAAGGGCATTACTTACAGGAGGGCACCTAGGGAAGGATACCCTAGGCACATGCAGCCCGAATATTTGTGAAATTACTCCTGGCTCAACGCATCACCAGAGAAACAGCACCACATCACAAGGCACAGGGCTGGAGGACAAGAAAACAGGAAAGTCATATGACCACTGCCAAACACATTAGCCAAAGAACTGGGGTGTGGATAGCCAGTGTGAGGGTCTTCCCCCTCCCAGGGAGGAAGGGAACTGCCCAGACAGCAGCATGGCAACGTGGTGACGTCATGGTTGTTTGCTCGATTTCGTTTAGGGAGTTCTGTCTAACATTTCGGCATTCAGTAGCAATTTCTTAACCAGAACGGGTTCTTTTGGGGGGAGCTTACCTTTCTAGGTGCCTGACCCGGTCGATGGCAAACATAGAAGGCTTCCAACCACACGAGTTTCTATAGGCCATTGGCTCCTCGTGCCTCTGAGGGTGCCAGGTTCTGGCTCATTGTCCCCGGAAGGCCTAGAACTCCATTCACGTTGACTGATGTCAAAGCCTAATATATCCATATCAGCCTGAATAGCTTAGGGGAGCTGTAGGGGCTCCCCACAGAAAAAATAATTTTTTTCCTTAAAGGGTGATTAATTTGGATACAAGATGCTCACAGACATGGAAATAAAATGAATTTTATTTATTTACATTGAAGCTAGTTTTGTGCACAGAACAATGGAGCATCTTACAGCCAGCCCCATCTGTCAACATAAGACCTCATTGTCAGCAAAACACATTGCCTGAGCCAGATACTCAATGTTGACCTCGGATGTCAAAACAATCATGTGTATGTTTGTTATGTATCTATAAATGAATGTATGTACAGTATCAATTACTGAACACATCAATAAAAGTATTATTGTATTAATGAATATACCGGTATGTATCAATAAAACTAAGGAAACTGCAGAAGGTCTATTGGCCCATACGAGCTGCCTCAAATGGGCCAATAGACCTACAACAGTTCCCTAGTTCTTGAATGTTACAAACATTCATTTATTCATTGATACATACATATATTCATTTATTGCACCATTTGTTTTTAATGAGTTTTTTTAGCTGTTTCACTTTCATTTTCTGTGAACTTTACAGTTGTCGGTATAGCTGCTCTTCATTTCTGGATGCTCTCCTGGTGTGGGTGATCGTAACAATCTCCCAACTCTCTGCACCTCTGTGAGGGAGGACCAGGTTCTGGTTATGATCCCTAGCAAGCCAAACAGGACTCCTTTAATGTAATCCAGTAGTGGGAAGCCATCTTCAGGGACAATGCACCGTCTGTCTCCATTTTGGTCCGGCCTGGAAAAGGGGCCTACCATCTCCCTCACGTTCTCATAATTCTGTATCTCCAGGTATTTGGTCATTTTGGAGCTCAGTCCTGCCCGCCTTTGGATACTATAATAAACCTAATTAAATATGCAATTATTATGCTGAAGGGATATCAAACACAAATATTTTTGCCTGTCATCAGACTCTCTCGAGAAAACTCGTCTAGCAAGATGACACAGATGAAAAACCCAAGCCAATATAACTAACCTAAAAGGTTATGGTACTTACTTGACACGGTGTTTTAGTGATTCAAAAGATAATCCATCAGCTTCTAAGAGTTCAGCATACCAGTCTTTAATTTCATTGTTAGGATACTCAACACTGTAACCAGGAAGAGGCAACAAAACCTGAAACACATCCTTAGGTAAATTTAGGAGGAACTTTATCAACTAAGAATTGAGATACTTATGAGAGATGAGTAAGGAAAATAAATATTTTGTTGTGAAATGTCATTAACCCATGTACTGAGCACACATTTAATATGACATCCCCGCGGTGCGAAAAACCAGCTATGAATGTAATGAAACGCCATTTTCTGGGTGAGTCTCGGAGGCTTCCCTGAGCTATCCAGGCTGAATGGATATGTATAAATTTCTGGCATCAGTCAACTGAAAGATGAATGAATAAATGGTTCAAATGAATCGATTCAGATGAACGCATTCATCTGAACCTCGGATGAATCGTGACATGCCAATTCACATCCATGAAGTCCAGGGGCACCATCCAAGCGCCCGGCTCCAACAGAAGACAGATCTGGGAAGGAGTAGTCATCCAAAAGGAGGGACAATAAACCTACGAGATCAGACGGGACAAGTCCAGAAAAAACGGAGGTCCACGCAGTCCTGTTTCAGGACCGGAAAGAGGCGGGAAACCCACCCGAGGGACGAGGTAGTAGCGACCAAGCCCAAGCGAACCCAATTCGAGATGACTCCACAGAGTGCTGGAGAAGAGGTTTGCCCCACCAGCCCCGAACCCCCCCCCCCCCCGAAGGAGGAGGAGCCACACAATGCCACCGCAGGCCGCACGAAACGACACGAAATGACCAAAAATCATGAGACCAGAAGCGAGCGAACAGAGCGAGCCTCCCCCCCTAATCGTCCCGTTAATGGGACAAACCTACCTAAATCTCTCGCTGGAGGCTGAGTGGAGTAATCTCCAAGTTGGCAAGAGGTGACGTGACTACTTACAAACTTTGGCGCATTCTCCTCCGACTTGAACATTGATAAAGATGACTGAACAATGATAACATTGATGAACAAAGATATAGATATATATATATATATATATATATATATGTCGTACCTAGTAGCCAGAACTCACTTCTCAGCCTACTATTCAAGGCCCGATTTGCCTAATAAGCCAAGTTTTCCTGAAATAATATATTTACTATAATTGTTTTCTTATGAAATGATAAAGCAACCCTTTTCTCTATGTATGAGGTCAATTTTTTTTTATTGGAGTTAAAATTAACGTAGATATATGACCGAACCTAACCAACCCTACCTAACCTAACCTAACCTATATTTATAGGTAAGGTTAGGTTAGGTAGCCAAAAAAAGCTAGGTTAGGTTAGGTTAGGTAGGTTAGGTAGACGAAAAAACATTAATTCATGAAAACTTGGCTTATTAGGCAAATCGGGCCTTGAATAGTAGGCTGAGAAGTGCGTTCTGGCTATTAGGTACGACATATATATATATATATATATATATATATATGTCGTACCTAGTAGCCAGAACGCACTTCTCAGCCTACTATGCAAGGCCCGATTTGCCTAATAAGCCAAGTTTTCATGAATTAATGTTTTGTCGACTACCTAACCTACCTGACCTAACCTAACCTAACTTTTTCTGCTACCTAACCTAACCTAACCTATAAAGATAGGTTAGGTTAAATGGAGGAAAGGGTCCTGAAAGATATTGTTGATAGGAACGTTATCCATACAGACAACAATCAGAAGATACAATTGACGATTTACTATAAAACCAAAAAAAACGGCCAATCTACTCATGAGAAACTCTCCAGACACAAAGCAGAATGCTTTGAAAGAGACCAACATCGTCTATGCCTTCAAATGCCCACTTGGGGACTGTAAGCCTCAAAGAACTCTGTATATAGGCAAGACAACATCTCTTTCCAGGCGATTAACGATGCATAAGCAACAGGGCTCCATTAAGGAATATATAATCTCTTCCCAAACCAGACCATCACCAGAGAAATCTTAACAAACAACACAGAAATCATCGATAGATACAGCGATAGCAGGCGGCTTGACATATGCGAGGCACTACACATCAAGAAGTCAACACCAGCAATCAACAGCCAATTAATGCACAACTATATTCTACCCACTTCAAGACTCCGCACCAATATAGAAGCATCAAAAAATATGGGCCAATAGGCCCTTTGCAGTTACTTCCATTCTTCCCTTTAATTTACCCAATTTATACCCATTGTTTCGTGTTGAAAGTTTGCTCTATCTTGTGTTGAAAGTTTTGTTCACCTCATCCAAAACTGTTGTAACATATCACCTCACCCAAATGTGGGTATATAAGATGAAAGCAGTTTAAATGATAGCATAGTAGAACTCCACTGCCCAAAGTAATAACAACAAGAAGAAACAACTTACACTTACATCTAAAATATCTGCTGTCTCAGCTTCCTCTTCAGTCAAAAAGTGTAAATCAGGAGTTTTGTGTCCATTTGCCTCTTCCCCTTCTATCTCAGGCTTCGTCTCTTTATCGCCATTCTCTCCATCTGAAGTGTGACTGTCATTACTCTCATCCTCAAGTACTTCTGGTGGCAGAGTTTTGAGCTTGGCCCAATACTTTCCTAACTCTTCTTCAGCTTTTCTCTTACTTTCTCTTACCACTTTTTTAGCTTTCTGCTTTGCCTCCTGGTACTTTTTCTGTCGTTCTTTCCGTTCCTCTTCACTCACCCCTTCTGTCTTCATTTTCAAATAATATGCATCTTTCTTTTCCTGCACAGCTTTTGTTACTTCAGCATTCCACCAGTGTGTTCCCACTTTCTCACAGTCAGAGCTTTGGTCACTGGGTGTTGAATCTGGCAACTCTGAAGACATCAGCCTTGATGATGACACTGAGAAATAATTTGAAATTTAATGTAAATATTACAAAGCAGCAGACTGAATACTAGACAGCTGAATTAAGCAAGTGACTGGCAAAGCAAACAGCTAAATATAGTTAAGAAACACTGAATAGTTTCTATTGCAATCAAGGAAGGTATCTCAAATTACTATGTCGGGAAGATCCAATATGAAAAAGTATTCTGAGTGATGGAGTATATGATAGGTTAGTGGGTGGATTGAATGTAAGGTTATGTGTGCATATGGTTGGTGGGGTGATGATATGGCAGGTGGGGTTAGCATATGGTACGTGGGGTGGGCATGAAGTAGGTAGGCATACAGTGGATAGAGTGGGCAGGCAGTGTATATGGTGGGTGGAGTGAGTAGTGGGTGGGGTGGGCATACCGTGTGCTTGGTGAGTGGTGTCTATAGTGTATGGTGGGTGAGGAGGGCAGTGTCTTTGGTGCGTGGGATGGGCATATAGTGTGTTCAGTGCATGGGATGGGTACAGAGTGGGTGAAGTGGGCATACATGTGTACAGTGGCCATATGGTGGCTCTCCATTTTTCCTCTCCACTCCATGAAGGTACTTTGTTGACCAGCCTGTTTCTCTGTGGTTAAAATCTGAAAGTACCTGAATCTTTGCTCTGGCTGTCCCATGCCCCTGTGGTTGCCTTTTCTAATATCTTCAGATATGGTTCATTGCATTTACTATATTCCTCCTTTGACCTTCCTGAAGTTAATAGAGGGTTGTAAACAACACCTACCACTATCTTTATGAAGGTCAGAATCTATATTTAAAGCTCCAAGGTTGTTGTAGAGTTTGTGGGGTAGGGCTACTCCTCCTATCCCACCCTGTTTATTCTTTCTTTTCTTACTGCCTGGTATCCTCTTGGGAATACTGCATCCTCAATTACGTTTTGCAGTTTTGTCTCCACATCCGCAAGGATATCAGGATGCAGTTCTGCTCCAATTCTTGCAGTTTTACAACTTTTTAATAATACCATCTGCATTTGTGTACCAACTGTTTATACTAGTTTCTACTGGGCTGATTAGTTTCTTCTTGAAGTAGAATCTCCCTTTAGGCTACTGTAGTCTCATTCTGGAGGGCGTGTGAACACACATGTTTTGGGTGGGTATGGTGACCATATGAAGGGCAGGGTGACCATGGTTGGTGATGGCATGTGGTGGGAAAGGTGTGCATATGGTGGGTGAGGTTGTGCATGTGGTGGGTGGACACATGGTGGGTGGGCAAGTGGTGGGAGAGGTTGTGCATGTGTTGGATGGGCATGTGGTGGGTGGGCACATGGAGCGTGGGGGTTGTGCAAATGTGGTGGGTGGCCATGTGGTGGGTGGGCACATGGTGGGTGGGCACATGGTGGGTGGAGTTGTGCCTATGTTGGGTGGCCATGTGGTGGGTGGTCTTATGGTTGGAGATTTTGATGGATGCAAGGTTATTGGAGAGTTTGTAGGGTGAACATATTGTTGTGGTAAAGGGGGTGTTAAATTCTTGCCCATCAAGGAGGGTATCCCTTATTTTTACACCAGGCATATCTCACATTACACTCAATATTATAAATATTCAAAAAATAAAAATGCAATCCCCACATCCTCTGCATAAACATTAAAATATGGTCATATATGGGGAAAGTGTGCCAGCAATTATAAAAAAGTTGCCCTTAACTGGAAGTTTATACATTATCATCATTACAGAATGTTCCAAATTTTCATGTAAATTTCATTCAAGATGAGCAATGACAAATGAAGTATATTCACTGAGAATATTATCAGGATATGTGAGAATCCAAGGAACAATGGGAAAGCAAACTTTCACATTATCCAGGAAATCAGGACATTCTATATTACAAATGGCCGTTCATGTTTAACAAATTTGCTATCCTTTAATTCCAGCATAGTTGAGACAGTTAATAGTGGTATGGTTTGCAATGTTGTGTACCTTGATTTTAGCAAACTTTTCTGATACAGTGCCACATCAAAGATGGATTAAAAAGATATAGGCTCATGGTATTGGGGGTGCTATATTCAGTTGGAATAGGGCATGGCTATACCAAAGGAAACAAAGTTAGTATGAATGGGGTTAAGTCCGAGTGGGAAAATGTTGCAAGTGGAGTGCCTCAAAGCTCTGTCCTGGGACCTTTGTTATTCATAATATATATCGATGATTTTGATTCAGGTTTGAGCAGCAATATTTGCAAATTTGCCAACGATACAAAAATAGGGAGGGAAATAAACACGGAAAAAGATTCACTATCACTTCAAGATGATCTAAATAGGATTTTGAAATGGTCAAAAGATTGGCAGATGCAGATTATTGCTGACAAATATAAGGTTTTGAGGCTAGGTAATGATGATACAGTTACAAGATACGAGCTAGATGGTGTTGAGATGGCTAAGTCGAATTGCGAAAGGGATCTGTGAATTATGATTAGTAAGAATTTAAAACTAAAAAATCACTGCATAAATGTTCGTAATAAGGCAAATAGGACATAAGAACAAAGGTAACTACAGAAGGCCAATTGACCCATACAAGGCAGCTACTATTTATAATCACCCAATCCCACTCATATACATGTCCATCCCACATTTGAAACAATCAAGGGACCCCACCTCCCCCATGTTACGCAGTAATTGGTTCCACAAATGCAAGCTGCTTTCCTGGGGAGCTGCAAGCGGCTTCCCCAGGAAAGTCATGAAATTTCTTCATTGTCATCTAAAATGTTGACTGACAGCTATGCTCACCTTCAGCTTTTTCCTCCTTCCGGCGAATTATATCTCCTGGTAACACTTTAAGGCCATATTTCTCAATACGTCGAGATGCTACAATGTTCCACAAGTAGCTTTGATATGCGTGTAGGTATAGTAATCGTGTGTTGCGTGGAATCTGAAACAAAAACAAAAAAAAGCCAGAATTAAAAATGGGACCTGATGTTTGGAAAGTGTGATGTAGTGAGTACTGGGGAGTCATAATTACAGGGTACTATAATGAGAAGAGGAAATAATATAAGTAGTCAGTACTGGGAATATAATAAATTTAGGCTGGTGTAATGATCACAGGTCTCTGTAAGGAATTGAGCACATTACCATTGCTGTCACCATTGCCATTGGAGACAGTAACGGGGGTGGTGACGCTGCAGGTGATGCTTCAAAAAGCGTCCAAAGTTTCAAAGCGTCATTTGACAAAGTACTGTGAACACAGGGCACCATGAGTGCAGCTCATCACATAACTACACTTAAGTAATTACACTCTCCCTTACCCACTCACCCTACCTCCCCCCACAATTGTCCATTTCACAGTCACACACTCATTCCTCCCACATACACTTCAAGGAAATACAAATACAATCCCACACCCACTTCATGAGAACATTGTGAAAAGCACTGGCTTAGTGCAAAGTTGTGCCACAACAAACCCAATAATGGACTCTAGTTTAACAAGTGCTGAACTTGATCAACTCAATAGCATATTCTGGCTTTGACGGTCAATGACTTGGTAGATAAGGCTCCAGTTACTGATCTTAAATTCAACCATTATAATTAGCAGAAAGGTAAACCAAAGGTCCTTAAATCGAGCGGATATTGTACTGGCAAGATAATACCTGTACTTCACCTGACAATACTGTACTCAAAGGTGAGTTTCATATACTTCATGCCTTTGAAGCTACAATATATACTCAGTCACAGCACAAGTTGACAAAGCTGTGACAAAATACAGAATAATACTGTACTAGTACAGTACATAAAATTTGTGCTGCATAATCCTTTGTTAAGGTTTAATGAATCTTACATTGGTGCAAATTCATAAATTACCATACCTCCTAGTTAAGGTCTTAGTTTTCTTAATACATGTATTTGTTAACAGAAAACTCAAACTTTATTATCAATAATTTCCTCAATTACAACAAAGAACACTGCTGTCTCAAAAGGAATTAAGTCTTACTCGATCTAGTGCTCCTACAAGATCATTCCTCTGCAGTTGAACAAGGCCAGTTAAGAGCTGAGCCTCAATAGATGATTCCCAACCTTTGGGTAGTGATTTGAGAGCTGCTTCTGCATCTCCTGTTTCTTTCCAAGTGGAACGACAGCGGTTAAGTTCCGGAATATCATTCTCACGAGGAGCAAGAATGAGGTTCACAGCCTGTTGAAATAAAAACATAAAATATTAAACAAATGCAAATCACAATGTATCATACGGTATTTATAATACCTGGAATATATACAATACTATACAATTCTTCAACTTACCACAAGAATCTTACAAATTTACACAAATATGGAATTGCTCAAAACAGGATGTGACTGTAAACAACACAAACTACAATGAGGGCACATGAATGCAGCACGGGGATGTTTCATCTATGCTGGATTTTATATTCACTAGGTAAGAAGAGATTTTTGACATTCATTCCTCTTTTGGGGCTAGAGCAACCATGTTTTTGGGGAAATAAAATATGCAATGCATTATAATCTAGAAGATAATGGGGAAAATTTAACAACTGTAAAACTTAATTTCAGGAGAGGAAAATATAGGGAACTCAGGAGGTTTTTAATAAATTTGATTAGAAATATTTGTTGTTAGGCAAAGAAATAAATGAGATGAATGCCAAATTTTGTGAGATACATGTAGGCACAATTAAATTTATACCGAGCACATTTGCAGAACTAGAGTAGGACTGGTTTAACATAAATTGTGAAATGACAAGGGCACAAAGACAAAAAAATTTAACCCTGGGAACCCTAAAGGTTGGAAATTGGTCACAGAAGACAAAAAGTAGGCGACCACCTCCTCCAGAAAGAGGACCAATGAAAAATGGGAGGTGGTCAAGTGGGCCAAGGACCAAGCCGAATCAAACAACTGGGCCAACACAGCCTGTCAACACACGAGACAGGCACAGTAGAACGCGCCCAACACCTCCATGAGAACAGGCACATATACCTGCTTGATGGGGTTCTGGAAGTTTTTTTTTTTTTTTTTTTTTTTTTTTTTTTTTTTTTTGAGATACTGTATATACAAGAGTTGTTACATTCTTGTACAGCCACTAGTACACGTAGCGTTTCGGGCAGGTCCCTGGAATACGATCCCCGCCGCGAAGAATCGTTGTTACAACCAAGTACACATTTTACTGTTGAGTTAAACAGAGGCTACAGTTAAGGATTTGCGCCCAGTAAATCCTCCCCGGCCAGGATACGAACCTATGACAAAGCGCTCGCGGAACGCCAGGCGAGTGTCTTACCACTACACCACGGAGACTGGTAACTACTCCCCAAGTGGGGTGTTACACATCCGTGGATTCTCTGATTGTGCCTATGGCACCTATGCTCTTCACTGGTTCAATTCTGCATTTTCTTCCATATCATTCACTCCAGTACATTGTTATTTTACTGTGTAGATTTGGGACCTGGCCCCTCCAGTATTTTCCATGTGTATATTATTTTATATCTCTCTCTCGTCTCCTCTCCCATTTCGTCTCCATTTAACCTATTTTTTCTATCACATCTATATAAATTAAAATTTGGAATCCAGATTTCACTATCCATGTAATCTTTCGTATGAGTTTCTGTTAATGTCCCAAATATTGAGTTTTGACTCTAATAGGAGGCCATTTATGAACTCAACTTTATTTCTTAACTTTGACTTTAGACCTTGAATGTTTGCAAATATGAATGATTGTCCATATTGTGTGTCACTTCTGGAAGGTTTTGGTAGTTCTCCCTTCTCTTTACCCTGACCCAGGGTGTGCTGGTCTGGCTATGGTTTGTCCAGTTTTGGAGTTGGTACTGTGGAGTGTGGTAGTCTCTGTGTAGTTGGGGGGTGTAGTATGTGTGGACTTGATGGCAAAACATAGTCCAGTCTTGGGCATTTCCTCCTCCCCATCCGTACTCCTGCAACGTTTCTGCCTGTCTGTTCCTCCTTCTGGGTCTGTTTGCCTATAGCTTGGGCAAAGCTACCAATACCGCCAGGGTGGAAAACAAGGTGCCTGCATCCAACCCGAGCATATCAACATCCTCGCAAAGGAGCTGAATGTGAGCCAAAAAATGCACAACTGTAGGCAGGTGTGAGTGAGCTTGTAAGTCTTCTGCCACAAGACACGTTGACAACATAGGCAACTGGGCATGTAGCAGCCCCATGTATGAGAAAAAGAGTAGGAGCAAACAGGTAGCCAGTGAGCAGATCAAAAGAAGGGCAACCCAAAAATACATAGGTTAAGTTAGTCCTTCTTAAAAGGACTGTGACTCTGTGAGAGTCACGTTCTGGCTCTTGTCCCCAGTATGCCAAACATCCTGCAACTGATGTGACCTATTAGCTAGGAGCTAATATAGAGCTTCCCTATTAGCTAGGAGCTAATAGAGAAGGCCACCCTGGTGGCTTCAGGGAGCCACCAGGGAGCTCCCAAGGAAAAAACATTACTGAGCACCGTCCAGCTCATGATATGTGCACTTTTTAACAGCTAAACTGAAAAGCAACATATACCTCTTGTAACTCAGCATTAGGTGTTCCAGTTCAGTGAACATGTCCTAAAATATAACCTATTACATAAACATTTGTTTATGAAGATGTTCAAATACCCCATTGGTTATGAAGCATTTACTCTCATAAGTTTGACTATATATATTGATGCAATACAACAAGAGTTAGCTAAAAATGTGGGAACCATACCTGTTGCCAGTTACTTTTCAGCAGCTCTCGACCAATAACATGTGTTGGAATGTTGGTAGTTCCAAACCGTTGTGTTCCATAATAATTAATGAAGCCTGTTGTCTTCAAGGATTCAATTCCTGATGTTATTACTTCATCTTCTCCCTTCACTTCTCTGTTAAAGTGCCTTGATTAGAGCTTGTTGAAAAACAAAAATAAAACAAGGAAAAACCAGTTACTGTAAATCATAATTAGTATGGCATCATAAATTATCTTAGCAAAAGTTATTGTGATATGGTACCAGAAAAATTATAGTGTGCTATTACTCTCACTCAAAGATAATATAATTATAAAATGTGCTGTAGAACTTTGCTCTTTATTTTAAAAATAATTCAGATAAAACTATGATAACATACTGAAATAGGACAGGAATAGAAGAACTTGTGCTGATATTAAAGTACTATTCATAAAACCTAGCACTGAATGCAATGAAATGCCTCGTTCTAGAAGAGCCCTGGTGGATACCTGTTACTATCTCACCATGATTGCTCAATACTATATGTCACATCAGTTGTGAGAGTTCTATTTGGCCTACCAGGGACCAGAGCCTGAACCTGGCACCCCTCACAGAGGCTCAGACAGTAAATGATATTTTGCCATTTCGCCGGGAATGCGTAAAAAAACAAGTATTGAATCTAATGAAATGCCATTATCTAGGTGAGTCCCAGAGTCTCCCCAGAGCTATCCAGGCTAATAAGGATATCCCTATCCTTGGCATCAGTCGACGTGGGTGGAGTTCTAGACCTACCAGGGACCACAAGCTAAAACCTGGCCCCCTCAGAGAGGCACGAGGAGCAATAGTCTATAGAAATGCACATGTGATTTTGGAGCATTCTATATCTGCCATCGACCAGGACAGGCACCCAGAAAGTTAGGCGCCCCAAAACAAACCCCTATTCAGGTTAAAACGATGAAAATTGTATGATGTCATGCAAACAAGCATGACATCATACGAGCCGCACTGCTTGTCTGTGCAGCTCCACCCTCCCCGGGAGGGGGGAAGGGGAAACCACCGACCGCGCCGGCAATCCACACCCCAATTCTGAGGCTGGATATCAAAATACACGAAAAACCAACGACCGGAGGGAGGGAGGGTTGCCGGGAGCCTTCGGGACTCACACAGAAAATGGCGTTTCATTACATTCAACGCTGGTTTTCTAGGGGAGTCCCTAAAGCTCCCCGGAGCTATTTCACCAAAGACGAAAAGAACGGGGACTTACCCAGGAGGCAGTCAGAGCTCACATCTCAACTCGAAGACGAGACAGGCTGCAGCCGCCGACCAAAAGCGACACAGGCCCCGGAACATGAACAAGGTAATGTGCAGCCAGGACCCTGTTCGACCGCCAAAATCCCCTTGCCCAAACGACAGACCAAGATAAGTTACCAAAGCAGCAGCAAGATCAGCATACTGTACTTACGAACTTCATGGGCATGGGCCGCAGGCGGACTAGACGTATTAACTGCGGACGACCTGAGAAACCCATACCCGTGAACAGGGAAGAAGGGAATACAGGATCAACCCAAAGCACATCCCCGGACACAGAAGACGTGGTGCGCAAAAAAACGCGGAGTGCCGCAACCGGACACAACACATGATACACCCTCCAGCCTGACTAACAACCATCAACGACCCAAGGATCCCTAGGGAAAGCAGCAGTCTCATTCTTTGCCAGAAAAGAAGGAGACGGCTGCAACCGAACAACCCTATCACCACAACCAAAAGAGCAGAAACCCCTGCGCTGGAGAAGAGCATGAAGCTCCGAAACCCGACCCCCAAAGGCCAATGCCAAAAGGAAAAAAAAGAGCCTTAGACAAACAATCCTGAACCGAAGGGGCCACAACAAACCGAGGAGGTTATCTTCTTGAGGTTATCTCGAGATGATTTCGGGGCTTAGCGTCCCCACGGCCCGGTCCTTGACCAGGCCTTCTTTTTGATACACACACCCCAGGAAATAGCCCGTAGCTTCGACCAGGATGGCTCGGGCAGCACATGAGCAGGCAGGTGAAACAATGCACGAGACAGCTTGCAAAACGGCGTAGAAGTGACACACCTACACCAAAAGCAAGCTGCAGCGGCACTGCTGCAGCTTGCAGCTGAACTATTAAATAAATTATTTAATTATTTATTGAACTATTAAATAAATCAGAAAATGGCTAACTGAATTTACATTTTCACTTTGAGAACTCTCACAATTAATCTTCTCAACTTGTTTTATATAGCAACTCAGACCTCTTGTTACAGATAGAGGTGCTAATTTATTATCTTCACTGCCCTCTATAAATTTGATAAAACAGTAAGAAATATGTTAAGTCTTTCTATTGTAAAGATAAAACTATAGTACTGCACTTATTCAAATAATCCCATCTGCATTTTATCCAGTACTCTGTAGCACCAATATGGCCCTGCAGGGACTGCTTGAAAAGTTCCCTGCAGTGCCAGTGTCAGAATGTTGCCCAATTATTACCATATCAGACACACACAATAGATATTGCTTTAGTGAGGAGCCAAAATATAATTGCTCAGAAAGGGACCTCAAAAACTCATTGTAACTCATTCAATCTAACTTTCTTAAAATCATTCTTGATTTGAACAGATACAGTACCATAGATTTCAACAGTAGAAAGTTAAGAACTTCAGTTAGAAAAACAAATTATTTACAAAACATGTTAATCATCAGACGAACCTTAAAACAATCCGAAAGTGGTTTCCTCGGAGCTGACCCAATTTCTGAGGAGTGGGTCGGAAACGAAAGTTGCCAAGTTGAATTCCTCTGTGATTCTTGGTTGCATGAAAAAGCTTATGGGGTGCAACCTGAAACAAAATCATTGACTGAAATACACATTATTAATTATGCTGTACCGTATATTTTTTTAATAACAACCAAACAACAGAAATATCTTTGCTACTCTATACCAAGTAAATCTCATAATAAACTCTTAAAAACCAGCGTTGAATGTAATGAAACACCATTTTCTGGGTGAGCCCCGGAGGCTCCCTGGAGCATATCGGGCTAATGTATGTTATATTAGACCAAGACAGTTCTCTGGTAGGTCTGAACTATGAAGTTCAGACCTACCAGGGACCATGAGTCAGAACCTGGCCCCTTCAGAGAGGTTGCAACAGCAATGTCTCTGGAAAACCCCTCCTGTTGTTGGGGGTTTTCTATATCTGCCATCGACCAGGGCTAGGCACCCAGAAAGATAGGCATAACAAAACAAACCCCATATGTGAAGCTAACAACAAAAACCAAACAGGTTGAACTTCCAACAATCCCAAGGAAACAAGCAAACAAACGCACTACTGCCGCGTCGCTCGTCTGAGCAGCCCTACCCTCCCCGAGAGGGGGAGGGGAGCCCCCAGGACCTCACCGCGCCAGCTGCATAGCACTCCAGGTCGGAAGCTAAGCGTCACAAATGCAAAAAAAAAAAGCTGACCGGTGGGAGGGAGGATTACCAGGGAGCCTCCGGGGCTCACCCAGAAAATGGTGTTTCATTACATTCAACGCTGGTTTTCTGAGGGGGAGTCCCTATGGCTCCCTGGAGCCACACACCCAAAGAGAAGGAAAAGAAAGGGCTGACCCGGGAGGAGCCGCCACAAACTCCGCAACGCTAAGTCGAGACAACAGACTGCAACCTGCAACCCAAAGCAACACAAGAACGCCCATGAGCAGACACGCTCACAAAATAACGGGCGGCCAGGAATCTGTGCGACCTCCAAATCCCCATGCCCAAAATGAGCCCAAGACATGTTACCAAACACGGCAGCGAAAGCTGCAAATGTCCTAACGGCACGGGCGCAAGGATAGACCGCAAGCTGGCAAACTTAATAAACCCTGCAGACGACCTGGGAGACCCGAGCCCTGGAACAGGGAACAAGGGAAACTGGATCAACCCAAAGCGCATCCCCAGCCATGTCATGCAGGTGACTGCGAAAAGCCGCAACCGAACACAACATATGACACCCCCCCAGCCGAACCAACCAAGCATCAATAACCCAAGGACCCCTCCGGAAAGCAGCCATCTCGGCCTTTGCCAGAAAAGACGGAGAAGGCTGCAAATATACAAACTTACCACCAGTACCATAAGAACAGTAACCCCTGCGCTGGAAGAGAGCCGGAAAGAAAACGGCCACCAGAACAAGGAGTCGTGACCGACACAATTGATCCGAAAACACGCCACCAAATGTGGGAAGTAAGCAGACGAGGGACAAAAAATCCCGCCCAGAAGCAGAAAACCCAGGCAGGGGCAAACAGCTCCAGAACTGCTAGCGAGCATCCCCCACAGCCCCGGAAACCCGCAACAGACGGCCCCGGGGCAAAACCATCCACTATGCCCTCTGCCCTTACAGAAAAGAAAGAAAGAGTCCAGAGGAAAGGCAGCATAGAAAGGGCTGCTGGTAAGACCCAGAAGCCTTGGCAGGAGGATCAGGCTCAAAAATCTCCGTCCACAACCCAAACCAGGGCCCCAAGCCCCAGCTGGTCCCAAGGACGAGGCAAATGCCGAGCAGCAAGAACCTCTACGGGAATGGTTCCCAAATGCCCCAGGGAAGAGCACCCTGTCACGCAGGGACAGTACTCACAGGGCACTTAGGGAAGGAAGCCCCTAAGCACATGCAGCCCCAGTACTAACCTAGGTTGACATTAGCTTAAGAACTGATGCTAGGCAGCCAGCATGGTGAGGTCCGGGGCTCCCCCCTCCCCCTCTCGGGGTGGGAAGGGCTGCGCGGATGATCGGCGTGGCAGTAAAGTGTGACGTTTGCTTGTTTCCTTGGGATTGTAGGGAGTTTCTACCTCTCTGTTCGGTTTTCTGTTTTTTTTTTTACCATGTGGGGTTTGTTTTGTTATGCCTACCTTTCTGGGTGCCTAACCCCGGTCAATGGCAAATAAGGAAAACCCCAACAACAAGGGGGTTTTCCAGGGCCATTGCTCCCTGAAACCTCTCTGAAGGGGCCAGGTTCTGGTGCTGGTCCCTGGTAGGTCTGAACTCCTTAGCTAATGTCCTGGTCTAATATAACATACATTAGCCCAATAAACTCCAGAGCTGTAGGGGCTCCCCACAGAAAAAAAAGGGGCAAAAAGGGGGAAAAACAAAAGGGAAAAGGTAAATCCAAACCGAAGGCATGAACCAAAACAATCCACTGGCAAGACAAACAAGCAGTATAGAATAAGCGACTTGCACGGCACCTCTGAGGCCCCAGCCGCAGGCAACGAAGCTGCTTAAATTGTACTGACATGTCTTTCTTTAGATTTCTAAGCACCAAGTTTATGTTGGCTAACATCCAATATGAACTCAAATATTATCTTGTTTATGTAAGCTTTGGGTGATGTCTTTTCATAATTCCTATACAGAACTATAATAGTCTTTCTTTTATGAAGTAAATTCCATCAGATCTTGGACACTTACTAAGCTCCATTACATTACACGGGTTGGGGGTTAACCACAGCACTACGCCAAACAACAAATGTCGTTTTGAGAGTCGTGCATTTTTTTTTACCTAGGCTATATTTTAATGCTTTTTAATCTTTTCATCACTCTGTGTTTTGAAATGAAAATAGTTGAGTTTGGAAACATTTTGACATTAACTTTACCTGACCATTTATAAAAACAAGAAAAATATGTCCTTAACAATTGCACTTTGAAGTTTAGAAGTAGCACTCTAAAGGCCTCCTCATTTTTTTTCCCTCGTTAGCTCTGCATAGTACTGTATGTGTTCTACCAGAGGACCCAGTAGAACATTTTATGATTTGGAAAGTTTTCTAGGTCACTATCACTTAGGCCAAATCACATTCTTGAAATATTTTTTTTTTTTGTGGGGTCAACTCCTACCTCTTTTCACAAGCAGAGAATTAAATAACCCATGAACTCTGTTAATAATCACATGAAAGTAAAAATTTTAATTAATGTGTTACCACCCTTGAACAACAGTTTTCAGAAATAGCTTGGCAGGTATGTAATGAAGATGCAGACACATGTACACAGTCATATATTAGCCTTTGCAAAGCATCATACTTACTCGGCTTACAGACACAAGCTGACTTGTCTTGGCACGTTTATCTTTGGTTCCAGCATAACAAAAATTGTTAGGTTTTATCCTGAAATAAACACAAGACATTACGTAAGAGAACAATTGCATCTTAAGCATACAAATATTTATCTTATAAGAAAAATGCATATCAGTGTTTACAATATATAATGATGAAATATGTATTGTCAAGTAGTCCGAGATGAAGTATATAATATATCAGACAAGACTGAGGCAACACTACTTACAAAAATTACAGTAAACTGTCTAAAAGATACCAATGTAACTTAAAAAAAATATATATATATAAAATATCACCAATTGTTCATTTGGTGTTTTATGCTCTCCAAATAGCATATGATCTTCACTTTCATATATTTACAATATAGGTTTTCAGAATAGGTTTTCCTATTCCTATTTTCCTATTCCTTAATAGGTTTTTCAGAATAGGTTTTGTGTAATAGGTTTTCAGTATAATTTACTGAAAAAAAATATGGCATTTGATATATGCACAAATTTAGACAACAAAAATTTATAACTCCAAACGTTTCGAGTTTAGGAAAAGTCAATTCTATAGGGATTGTAGAACAGACAGCTGTGCACACTATATGTAAAAATGGTGAGAATCAGTCAGAAACTAGATTTTTGGATACTGAAGTAAGTTGAAATTCTAGTTATAGATATAATTGAAGTTGAAGTTATTGACAATGAATAAGGCAGTTCTAATTCATGAATTTACTTGTATGTTGTAATAAACATTGTTAGGCATTCATACTGGAATATTTGAAAGTTGCAAGTCAATATGTGTTGAAATGAAGTCAAGAAAAAATAATCCCCCAAAAAACAAAATATAGGGATAATTATAATAATTATAATGATTTAGGGGATATATTTAGGGGTATACTGTATATATGTAAAAAGCCCTAATCTGGTCCCTAATCATCAAAACAACCCAAAGAAACAAGAAAAATAAGAGTTTGAAATCTGTGAAAAAATCTGCCAAAAAAATTCAAAGCCCAAGTTCTGAGAGTTGTGACTGATTTATTTGTCGACCAATTTATTTCTGTCTTCACATAGTTAGGGAAGGGTATGCACTCTCCACGATATAAAGGTTAAAACAAATTAAAATAATAAACAAAAGGAGGAAAAAACCAGCGTTAAATGTAATGAAATGCCATTTCCTGGGTGAGACCCGGAGGTTCCCTGGAGCTTGTCCAGGCTGATATGCTAATGTCAGACTTTGGCATCAATCATGTGTATGGAGTTCTATGGGCCTACCGGGGACCACGAGCCAGAACCTGGCCCCGACAGAGAGACAAGGGGAGCAATGGCCTATAGAAACCCCTGTGTGGTTGGAAGCCTTCTATGTCTATGCACTCCCTAAACAGAAACGAGCAAACTAGTATGATGTCACACGTAGCCGCGCCACTGTCTGCGCAGCTCCACCTTCCCCCACCCAGGGAGGGGGAAGGGGGAGTCTCAGACCTCCCACGCCGGCTATCCACACCCCAGTTCTGAGGCTGGATGTCAAAACACGCGAAAAAAAATGCCGACCAGAGGGAGGGAAGGATGCCAGGGAGCCTCCGGGTCTCATCCAGAAAATGGCGTTTCATTACATTCAACGCTGGTTTTCTGGGGGGAGCCCCTTCAGCTTCCCGGAGCTAACTACCCACAGAGGAAAGCAGAGGGACTACTTTCGGAAGTAGTAGTAGTTGGAGTAGAGGAAGGGGAATTTCCCGAGATCGCCAGTCTCAAAATCAACGAAGCCCCGCCCCGACCCCGAACCCACAGACGGTAAGGATCCGGATGCAGGCAGGAAGGGGGGACCAGAGTAGACCACAACAGGGGGAAAGACAAGGGGGCATGGATTGAACCGAAACAATCAACACCCCCCCAAGACCCAACACCAACCAAAACTGGGCAGCCTCGGGGCTTCCAGGGAGCAAACAACCGAGAGCGTTGCCACCATCGAAGCTCTGCACGCTCGTGCTGCCTGCACCCATATAGTCAGCATAAGACTGGGTAACCGAGTCACAAACAAGCAACAAAACTCGCAGGACTCCGACCCCACAGGCAGCAGATGGAGGCAAAGACACACAGAGAGAGTAACCCGGAGACAAGGGGACAGAGCAACCCTTAAACTCGCTGGAAGCGAGGGGGGACTCTGGGGTCACATCCACCGAACCCGCGCACCCCAAAGTGTTTCCCAGGGTCCTGAGCGTTTACTATAATAGGACTCGCACTCAGGTAATCCCAGGCATGGTACTGCTAACCGGCACCCAAGACTACCAAACAACCTTATAAGAACTGAACCCCCGGGACGTGTACACTCACGAGATCCTAGCAGGGGAAACCACCGGAACAAGGAAGAATACTCAGTACACAGGGGCAAGAACGAAGGCAAACTGCCCTACCAGGCCGACAAACAAAAAGAAAAAGAAAACCCGGCAAGAGGACAGCGTACCCAAGCGGAACAGAGCCGGCTGCCATGATCGGTGAAAACAAGCTGCGCAGTACCCTGCGCCCCACCAGTGCAAACTGCCCAAGGTAAACAAGGGAGAAAGAACACCCGAGCACACAAAGGGCGGCCGAAAACCAAGCAGTAAACGGCCTAGCAGGGGCAGAACCCAAGGAACTTGAGGAAGGTGGCCCCAAGCCCCAAGGGCAGTACTTACAGGGCACCTAGGGAAGAAAACCATAGGCACATGCACCCCAAGTACTGGAGAATCACTCCCGGCTCAGGCACCACTTAGAAGACAGTCACCACACTCTAGGCAGTGCTGAAACAACCACCGGAGCAGGAACACACGACCTCAACCTCTAGCATCAGCCGAAGAACTGGGGTGTGGATAGCCAGCGTGGGGGGTCCTGGGGCTCCCCCTTCCTCCTCCCCAGGAGAGGGAAGAGCTGCAGACAGTGGCGCGGCGACGTGTGACATCATACTAGGTTGCTCGTTTCTGTTTGGGGAGTTCTATCCACTAGTTTGGCATTTGGTAGCAATTTTAACCAGAAAAGGGGGTTTGTTTTGGGACATTTACCTTCCTGGATGCCTGACCCGGTCAATGGCAGACATAGAATGCTTCCAACCACACGGGAGTTTCTATCCCTTGCTCCCCTTGCCTCTCTGAGGGGGCCAGGTTCTGGCTCGTGGTCCCCCCGGTAGGCCCATAGAACTCCATACACATGACTGATGCCAAAGTCTGACATTAGGATATCAGCCTGGATTAGCTCCGGGGAGCCGAAGGGGCTCCCCTAGAAAAAACTAAAAACCTAAAAAAAAAAAAAAAAAAAAATATTTTTTGGACATTGTTGAAAGTAACTGGATAATAACATTGGACAATGTATTTATATGTTATATAACAAAATAGAGCTTAATAACATACTTACTCATTATTATTTGTGTTATTATGTATTACTTGCCAATGCTATAAAGGCACCAGCTGCATATCCTCTTTGTAGACACGTCTTACTACTATTCTTTTTCTTTGTGTATAGGACAGGTGCTTGCATCTCTTTATTATTGCATTATCCATCAGTTCCAGTTAATAGGAGCTGTTCTTCTTATCAACAAAATGTTCTTTTTTTTTTTTTTAAATATTCGTCTAAAATCAATTTATGAAAATATTTTGATGAAAGTTTCACGACGCTGAAGCCAATAAGTTGGAGATTTGTTTAACATTTTAAAGTATTTTTTACATAATTCAAATATTTTTCAAATTATGCCCCCTCATGCTTAGCAGTTTAAGGGTTAAGCAGTTATCAGACAATTTTATTTGTAATTTAAAATTTATATAACGAGTTCATTTTTCTTCAGTAACATACAAACTATTTATTTAAAAAGATATTACTGTATAATCAAATGCAATGTGCACTAAAGATTTTCCATGAAGCATATCTATTACTCTAAGAAAGAATTGATCATCATCATTACCTAATTTTCCCATTTTATTGAGTAGAGGCAACAGGCAAGAACAGAATTCTGAACACATTTAAATATCATTAGTAACTATTTTCAAACCTGGTTTTCCATGCAATGTGATTGATAGCTTCCATAGTATCAACATTTTCCTTGTACAGGACAAAAGTGGTATACATCTGAGACTTGGGCCATGTAGTCCTCTCCCGCCGTACACTACCAACTGAAGTAGATGAAAATAGCCAAAATTTTAAGGTTCTTATATTAATTTTTGTAATTTTTGGTAGATGAAATAATAAATGGAAATGGAATTTTAATAGTATACTATAGCAGCAAAGCCAATTTTCATCATTTTATTTCAACTGTGTAATACCAGATGAGCTACATACTATACTGCAAAGCTAACGTCTAATACTTATTTCTTCTTATACATAATCTTTCTTATATATATTCCCTTTTACAGATATTCCTTTTTATAGATATTCCATCTTATAGATGTAAATCATACCTATTTTAATCTGAATAAATAAAAATCTAAATTACAGTATTATCTTGATCTTGGTAATTTTATCTAAAACGTACCTTTTTTTTGTCTAACAAGAATGTACCGTCTACCATCATTCATCTCTTTATAGATGCTATCAACCACACGAAACTTGGCCTTGACTGCTCGGTGGATGGCAGTTCGCCCCTCTTTATCTGCATTGTTTACGTCAATCAAGACTTCTGTTGGAGCATCTGGATCTGAAGCAAATATTAAGAAATAACTTTGAAAAACGTACTATTAAGTGAATAATTCCATGTGATAGGCAATTGTGTGGTACAATACCAATGGCAGAAGAGATTGTGTCCAGCTGGCACAAGAGTTGCCGATCACAGAGTAGTTATTATCTCATCACACATATGCATGGGCAAAGGTATTTGATATGATAATTGCCAACCACTAGTTTGCACATGTTCTCTGTACTATGTACCAAGCAACTGCACAATCCTCCCATGCATACAGTAAATGTAGCAAGCATTAACTAAGAAATAGCACAACTTTGTCATGCAGTAAGCATCAGTGGAGCATGGACAAAAGCAGCCTCTTGTCGAAAACAGATGAACCACTTTTAATACCTATTTTAGGCAAGTTATTTGGAAAACATTTTCTGAATGTGGAAACTTAGTAGAGGGGAGAATGGCTGCTCGAACCCTATATAGCTTCTGAGTGGACAAGGTGACGATGTTCAAGCAAGACTTGACAATCCATATCACAATTTAAACAAATTAACCTAAGATGTTCCCTCTAACATCATTACAAAAGTGTTCACAAAAGGACCGATTGATTTTTATGTGACTTCCCTGAAGCTAATGGCACATAACCAACATAAGAAAGATGCAGAACAGCAGGTGAAACAACCCTCAAATACTAACAAGCATGATAACAATAACAAGGCCCTCAATTACAGGTTTAAGCCAGCTTTGCAATATTTGTAAAAAACCAGCATTGAATGTAATGAAACGCCATTTTCTGGGCGAGTCCCGGAGGCTCCCCAGAGCTATCCAGGCAGAATGGATATGTATAACTTTCTGGCATCAAAGTGCTTGGAGTTCTTGCCTACCGGGGACCACGAGCCAGAACCTGTCCCCCTCAGAGAGACATGAGGAGCAATGGCCTATAGAATCCCCCATGTGGTTGGGAGCATTCTATGCCTGCCATAAAATATGGCTACCGAAAGTCAAACGAGTGGACAGAACTCCCCAAACAAAGTTATCTAACTAGCATGACGTCATCACGTCGCCGTGCCGCCGTCTATGCAACCCCCTCCCTCTCCCCGGGAGGGGAAAGGGGGAGCTCCAGACCCATCCGCCAGCGACCCAACCTTCAGTTCTTAGGCTGGATGTCAAAAAGCACGGAAAACACCGCCGATCGGAGGGAGGGAGGGATGCCGGGGAGCCTCCGGGACTCACCCAGAAAATGGAGTTTCATTACAATCAATACTGGTTTTCTGGGGGAAGCCCCGTCGGCTCCCCGGAGCTACCTCACCACAGATAAGTAAAAGAGGGAAGGACCCGGGAGGCGGACGCCACATCCCCTAACCTAAAAACAAGACCACAAACGAAAAGAAAAAACCCTGCAGACAACTCGGGAGACCCGAACCCCAGAACAGGAATGAGGGAGGGAAGGAAGGGAACTCAGGCAAACCAAAACCCGCCTATAACCCCAGAGGCCAAGAAGCGCCGTGAACAGCGAAGAGCCACAACTGAACAACAAGGAAGCACCCCCTGCCTGACCAACCAAGCAGCAGCCCAAAGACCACACCGAGGAGAAGAAAAAAGAGACCACCCGGGCCAACAACCAGGACGGCACCGGAAACGCAAGAGCAGGCCAAAGGGGAAACAACTCCCAAGACAGCAAGCGGAACAGAGGAGAAGGAACAGCAACACCGACCGCAAGCTTGAGCGGCTCCACCAGCGCCACCCAAGACAGAACATGGTACCAGAAGACGGTCCCAGAACAACTTCAAAGGGAAAGACAAGACAACACTATAAGAGACTGAAGAACCCTTCGCTGTGATAGGAAAACCAGAAGAACCTCCAGGACAAACCACACACAGATGGGAGGTGAAGCACTGTGAAGCACGCAGGAGGGAGACCAACAATGCAGCCACCGGCGCCCACACAAGCAACGAGAAACGAGATAAAAACCGAGTGTGAAGACTCGAGGGGAGGAACGAACCAGCCCTGCACAGGACGGGACTGACCTGCAAAAGGAGGCGGAGCCGCGGAAAGACCCACAGGATCAAAACCAAAGAAAGCAGCAAGGGTCCACCAAGGAAGGCCAAAATCAAAAGGAATGGCCACCAGGGAACCAGGAAAACCAACCTCAGCGAGCCAAAGGAACCAACCAGAGTGAGCAGAAACGCCCTGTCCTGGCGGAACTTCCCTCCTCCCAGGACCCCTAAAGAACCAACGAGGCCAAACACCGAAAAGTCAGGGCCCAGGCAGAGGCCAACAAGGACAGCGGGCACCAGGAAAGAAAACGCATGACGCGAAACGAAAAACAGCGACCCTGCCAACCCAGTGGAGCAGCGCAATAAGCTCCAGCAGGGAAGAACGATTCACATCTTCGAGGGAGACCTGAGGGGAACTACGCAGGACGCGAACCGCAGGCAAACAAAAACGTACGGTCCGGAAAAGGAACAAGGAAAAGCCGGAACCAGGAACGGAATCCCAGCTACCAGATCCAAAAAGGGAAACCAGTAAGGCAGCTGCAACCACTTGCACCCGCTTATCATGACCAGTGGTCTTGGTGAACGGGAGCCCATATAGACGACACCCGTCGCACGACTCCAGGTCAAAAGAACCAACGACCCAACAGGCAGCAAGGCGGAGTCAAAACAGGTGAGTGTCACCCTAAGACAATGGGACAGATCAACCATCAAACTCGCAAAATGCGAGGGGAAGGGGGGGTGATTCAGGGGTCACATCCATAGGACCACGGAGCCCCTGTGGGGTTTTCCAGGGCCCTTAGCCATGGTTACACGCCAAGGGAAGCCCAGGCAGGGTACTGCGAACCAGTGCCCAATTCTACCAAACAAACTTCTAAAAGCTGAACCCCCGGGACGTGACCACTCACGGGGGCCAAGAGGGGAGAACCACCAACCGAAAATCCATATAACTCCTAGAACAGCAAAGGGGGACCACTAAGGCAGATCCCCCCCCCCAACCATGGCAAAAACAAAAGAAAAACCCCGCAAGAGGACAAAGTATCCAGGCAGAACAGAGCCGGCCACTGTTATTGGTGAAAACTAGCTGTGCAGTACCCTGCGCCCCTACCAGTGACGAAAATCACTTCCTACCCAAAGACAAACAAGGGCAACAAAACCCCAGCCGACTCCAAGGGCGGCCCAGTACCGAGCAGTAAAGGACACAGCGAAGATGGAACCCAAGGAGACTTGTGGAAGGTGGCCCCAAGCCCCAAGGGCAGTACAGTACTTACAGGGCCCCTAGGAAAGAGAGCCCTAGGCGCATGCAGCTCGAGTACAGTGGAATATTACTCTTGGCTCACACCCTACACCATAAGGCATAGAACTGAAACAAAGTGGGAGCCAGAGGCACTCGACCAACCAGTAATCACATCAGCCAAGAACTGAAGGTTGGGTCGCCGGCAGATGGGTCTGGGGCTCCGGGAAGGGGCTGCATTTAAAAAATAGGACAATTTTTTAAATCTCTGCTTTATGGGGAGGAGCCAATTAATGACTTCCTGAAGCTGTCACTGAGATGGCTTCCCCATTATAAGTCACATCAGTCATAGTTGTCCGCTTGGTCAACAGGAGACCAGAACCAGAAACCTGGTCCTCTCAAGGAGGCACAGGGAGCAGGGGATTGCTACAATCACTCACCAGTAAAGCAAAAAGAAAGAGACAAGAAAATACATACAATTGAATGATTAATGAAAATGAAGAACTAAAACAGAAAACAGGCACCATAGAAAAATTCCTTAAAAAGAAATCATTCACTTGAAACAATGTACAAAACATCATCTGGTTCACTGAGCTACCAATGAGTGGCATCCAAGAGTTTGCAATTTCAAAGTCAGCAACTGCTCAGTCCTGTTGCTGATGCTCAGACATTCCACATCTGACCTTCCTTAGTTGCCTCATCATAGCAAGTCCCATTTCTTCTCCAAGCTAAGTGATGGCCATCCTTTGGACTCTCCTACTTGGCCCCTTTTGCTAGTGTATTGTTCCTACATTTAAGTTTTTGCTTCATGAGCATGTTTTAAAGCTGCACTCCTTGCATGGACTCAGCATAATCTGCGCTTCAAGCTGCATGGGTTTAGGGCTGCCTTCCTTAGACACCCCATGGACGTATATCTGTTATATACCCATCGATGATTTCGAAGACCAACATCCCTGCAGCCAGCCTCCGACCAGGCCTCCTGGTTGGTGGTCTGGTCGACCAACATCCCTGCAGCCAGCCTCCGACCAGGCCTCCTGGTTGGTGGTCTGGTCAACCAGGATGTTTGATGCAGCTGCTTGCAATCTAACATATGAGTCAGCCTGGTTGATCAGTTATCCTTTGAAGGTGTTTGCCAATCTATCTTTTGAACACTGCAAGACGTCGGTCAGTTATGTACCATATGTGTAGAGGGAGTGTGTTGAGAAGTCAGAGTACCTTCACCGGTGTGAGTACAAGAGTTTGCCCCTGAGAAGTCAGGCCACTGGGGTGGAGAGTTTTGCCCAGGGTAGTGCACAATTCATTGACTCCTCTGCAAAACCTTGCAGATGGGGGTGTTCTGTTTTGTTTATTGTGGGGTACACAATAGTGCATGTGCTTATTTATACAGCAAACTATGAATGCCCTTCATAGCCAAATTTATCTTACAGACAGCGAACATGCCTAGTGCCTAGATATCCTGCTTAGCTAGTTGCCCTCAGGCCTAGGCCTCTTCCTGCAGATCTGCAGCATGGCTATCTGTTTAAAGAACACATCCTGTCTAAAGAACATAGTATATCTAACTTTAGGAAGCAGCCAAATGAATTATAAAAAAATAATTCTCACGATAACATGTGATGCATAAATAACAAAGAATACCACAAATTACATACCTATTACTGTTTTTTTACTTGACTTGTATTTGCTCCTTTGATTAACATCTGCCAATGAGTCCTTGTTCAAGTTTTTCTCTTTAATTGGTTTCTTAAATTCTTTCTCCTCTGGTTCTATTGCACCTTCTTCAGCTGTGTTATCTGATTTCTCTTCTTCCACTTTAACTTCAATGTCACTTTCTTCTTTAATAGGTTCATTTTCCATCTGTTCCATTTCAACTTTTTCCTGTTTGACATCATTCACATTATCTTCCATTAATTTGTTGTAATCCTCATCCTCATCATCGTCATCGTCATCAGCGTCCTCGTCATCATTATCATCATCGTCGTCGTCGTCTTCATGTTTTTCCTGATCTTTTTCTTCGTGATCTTCACTTACCTCTTGTGGGCTCACCTCGGAATCCATTTCACTTTGATCACCAGTTGGAGTCTCTGATTCACTGTCTTTTTTGGGTGGAGGAATAAGAGGTAGTCTCATGGGCTCTTTAATACCCACCATCCTATTTAGCTGACTGATGATCTCTGGTGTGAGTTCTGGTGGCAGCTCAGCTGGCTCCGCTTGAAAAAGATAAAAGAAAATTTCTATAACCATCTAAAACTTAGAAAATTTGCATGCAAGTTTCTATACCTTAAAAATCCTATACATACGTTCATTTACATTCACTTCCTGAATATTTGCTAAATAATAGTCCAAATAAAATTTAACCCAGGAGATATATTGCTTAAACTCAAAACCAGACAATACGATCAGGCATTCTTGAAATAGATAGATAGATAGATAGGAGATATACAGAGGAACCTCTGTTAACGAATTTTATCCGTTCCGGCACGGAGCTCGTCAAGTGTAACGCTCGTCTTGCGAAACGAATTTCCCCATTTAAAATAATGGAAATACAATTGATCCGTTCCACCCCTGAAAAATATCAATATGAAATTTTATAATATAATTATAATGCATATAATCATTATAAATGTTTTGTTTAACTGTTTTCGATTGTACTTTACCTTATGAAGAGTTGTTGCTGGCTTGAGGGAGATGGTGGGGAGGAGGAGAGGGGTTACAGTGTGGAAGGAGAATCCACCTCCGAGTCAGGCGGGCTCCCTCATCTTATGAATTTGGGGGGAGGGGGGGGGGGGTGGAGGTAGCGGACTGGGTGCGGGTTGGAAGTAGCAGGGACGGTTCGGGATGGGGAAATGGAGGTAGCGGGATGGGGGAATGGAGGTAGCGGGATGGGGGGGATGGAGGTAGCGGGATGGGGGGATGGAGGTAGCGGGATGGGGGGATGGAGGTAGCAAGGAGGGTGCAGGATGGGGGGGGGGGATGGAAGTACTGTAGTAGGGCACGCAGTCTTTTATATCAAACCGTTCCCAAGTTCCTCAAGATCCAGGTGCACGATTTCAAGCTGAATAAACGCAGGAACTTGATTGCCATGGACCACGCTTCCTCCGGGGACTTAATGCTTTCGGACATTACTGATATCTGTGGTTACAAGGTCCGTTGTTATATGCCTCTGGGTGACCGTTTGGTACAATATGTGGTCCGGCATGTTGTTGCTGTTAGTGTGGAAGACATCAAGGCGCAACTGCAGGATACTGACATTCCGGTCTTTGGTGTCAAGAAATTTATGCATAGAACTGATGGCGACCTGTGTGATACCAGCACTGCCCTCCTTACTTTTCTTGACACCCTTCCCCCTGATCGGGTTTGAATCAGGAGCCATTAATTTAGTTTTTAAACGTTGTTCAATGTCAACAAACCTTTTTTGACTAGCTGTATATGAAAAGGGCTGCAATTGTTTCAAGCTTCAGTATTGCAGCCTAAATAGAAAGGGAGAATTTTTTTTTCAACGACTTATACACATTTTCAATAAGACTCTACAACTACAAGTTCCAAATGAAATCATCTCTATGACACTCTTGTATCACATTAGCATATAATAAAGGATAACATTTCAACAGATTTTCCAAAATATGTTTAATTTTACTAATACAAATAGTCTAAGTTCCCCCCAAAAAATTATGCAAATATATCATGTTTATTACGATTATAAAATCAATAAATGAACTTAGGAAAAAAATAGAACTTCGAGGCGGTCGTCGCTCACTCCTCAACTCGAAGTCGAGACAACTGGCTGCAACCGCCGACCCAAAGCACCACAGGCCCGACGGGGCCCAGGGACATTCACGAGGTAACAAGCAGCCAGGATCCTGTTTGACCGCCAAAAACCCCGCTCCCGAATATCAGACCAAGACATATTCCCAAAAACAGCAGCAAGAGCCGCGAACTTACGGACGTCATGGGCACAGAGATAGACTGCAGGCTGGCTGGATTTGATAACCCTGCAGACGACCCGAGAGACACAAACCCGCAACAGGGAAGAAGGGAAACCAGATCAACCCAAAGTGCGTCCACGGACACAGAAGCCGTGGCACGCAAATAATGGCGAAGCACCGCAACTGGACACAAAGCATGATGCACCCCCCAGCCGTACCAACCAAGCATCAACCACCGACGGACCCCTCCGGAATGCAGCAGTCTCATTCTTCGCCAGAAAACAAGGAGACGGCTGCAAGCGAACAAAACAAACTCCACGACCGAAAGAGCAAAAACCCCTGCGCTGGAGGAGAGCATGAAGCTTCCCGACCCGACCCCCAGAGGCTAATGCCAACAAGAAAAGAGCCTTGGAGAAACAATCCCGGACCGAAGGGGCCACAACGGAACGAGGAGACAAAAGGTAAGCGAGCACTGTCCAAAGACCAGGACGGCTCAGGCAGCGCATGAGCAGGCCGGAGGTGAAACAAAGCATGAGACAGCTTGCGAAACGGCGCAGATGTAACATCGATACTAAAGGCAAGCTGAAGCGACTCCGCCAGCGCCGCACGATATGAGGCGACTGTGTTAGGCATAAGATGACGGTCCTGAAACAACCAAAAGAGAAAGGACAAGATCACCCTAACAGACAACGAACTAACACGATGAAGACGCAAAAAAGAAACAGAAGGTCCACCAAGAAACTTCATACTGCTGCCAAGAAGAAGCCCTCAGGTGGGACACCAACAAGGAGGCCACCTGATCACCATAGAGATGATGATAGACTCAAGTCAAAAAACCCATACGCGAAGACTCGAGGAGAAGCTCGAACCAGCCACGTGACGCACTGGCCCGATCTGCTGAAAGAGGCGGAGCCGCGGGAAAACCCTCGGGTTCGGACACCAAGCAAGCAGTGCCTGAAACCAAGGCTGGGCCGGCCACCAAGAGGCCAGAAGGAAAACTCTTCCCTGGTAAGTCTCCAGGCGAGTCAGGACCTGGAGCAACAGCTGAATCGGGGGAAAGAGGTACAGGAACCCCCACCTCGACCAGTCCAGCCGAAAGGCATCGACCCCGATGGCCTCGCGATCGGGGAAGGGCGCCTCATACACGGGAAGGCGCCTCGACCACGCCGACGCGAAGAGGTCTGCCTCGGGGCGCCCGAATGTCAGGCAAAGCCAGACTTTTATTTTCTTTTTCTAATTTAATTACCTTTCTTCATAATTCTTTAGTATGTCCTCAATAATCACTAACCTGCCAAGAAAACCACCTTTCATTATATCTTGCACTGAGAATCCTACAAAACATTCCGTTGGTGTGCTGTCCTCCCTTGTAGTGGCGGCCATCTTTGTTGTTGACATTCTGCTGTATTGAAAGGTCAACTTTTCTAGCCCAGATTTTTCATTCACTGATACTTATTCCTTATCTCTTGATTTCTTTCCAAATCCCCTACACCTTCATGTATTCTGGGACACCACTTGCAGCCCTCACCCCTGCTCCCAACACTTTGACATTTGATTTATCATGGAGCCTGCAGCAGTGCTACTCCTCAGTGTGATGCCGTGTGTGTCTTCCTGGGGGTGTAATTACCTAAGGGTAGTTACAGTATGAGAGCTATGCTCATGATGTCCTGTCTCTCCAGAACTCTGTCATATAACGTTTAGAAATTACCGACGGTTTTGGCCTCCACCATCCTCTCGTCTAACTTGTTCCAACTCTCTACCACTCTATTCAAATAAGTTAATTTTCTTATATTTCTCTGGCAGCTTTGTTTTGTTAGTTTAAATCTATGACCTCTTGTTCTTGAAGTTCCAAGTCTCAGGAATTATTCCCTATCAATTTTATCGATTCCTATTACTATTTTGTATGTTGTGATCATATCACCTCTTTTTCTTCTATCTTCTAGTTTAGGCATATTTAATGCCTTTAACCTCTCCTTGTAGCTCTTGCCCTTCAGTTCTGGGAGCCACTTAGTAGCATATCTTTGCACCTTTTCCAGTTTTTTGATGTGCTTCTTAAGAAATGGGCACAATACAAGTGCTGCATATTCCAGCTTCGGTCTAACAAAAGTCGTGAACAATTTCTTTAGTATTTCTCCACCCATGTATTTAAAAGCAATTCTGAAGTTAGAAAGTGTAGCATAGGCTCCACGCACAATGTTCTTAATGTGGTCATCATGTGACAGTTTTTTTATCTAGAACCTCCCCTAGATCTCTTTCTTTATCAGAATTTTTTAAGGATATCTCACATAATTTATAGGTTGTGTGGGGTCTATTTTCTCCTATTCCACATTCCATAATATGGCATTTATTCACATTAAATTCCATTTGCCAAGTGGTGCCCCATATACTTATTTTCTCCAGGTCCTCTTGAAGGGCATGACAATCATCTAAGTTTCTTATCTTCCCCATTATTTTAGCATCATCAGCAAACATGTTCATATAATTCTGTATTCCATCTGGTAGATCGTTTATGTAAACAATGAACATCACCGATGCAAGAACTGAACCCTGTGGTACTCCACTTGTGACATTTCTCCAGTCCAACAAAGTTTAACAGTTTGGTGGGACAAAAGAGCCAAAGCTAAACCCCCCCACAAGCACAACTAGGTGAGTTGTCCTCACGTAGTTGTGAGGTTTCAATTGATTTACCTACCTACCCCCCCTCCCCCCCCTCTCTCTCTCCCTCCCCCTCTCTCTCTCTCTCCCCCCCCCCCCTCTCTCTCTCTCTCTCTCCCCCCCCCCCTCTCTCTCCCCCTCTCTCTCTCTCTCTCCCCCCCCTCTCTCTCTCTCTCTCTCTCCCTCTCTCTCTCTCTCTCTCTCCCCCCCCCCCTCCCTCTCTCTCTCTCTCTCTCTCTCTCCACACTACTACTGCAACAAAGTAGACTACTGGTAACAGAACACTTAATGCTTAGAGCCATACAACTAAATATTAATAAATTTACAGGAATAGCCAAATAAATTTACTTGGAATTTCTTCAGGCTCATGGGGGACCATCTGCTCTGTGATGCGCACAATCTCTCCGGCGCTGTTTACTTCATTCACAAGAAAGTCAGAATACCTGTGAAAGATTTTATCAGAATAAATGTACTATCTAAATTTTTTTACTCCAGGATAAACTAATAAGATGATCTGTCAAGCTAAACCTGTCAGAATCCTTTACAATTCCTGTATGAACAAAATACTTTTAATAAGAAAAACATCTTAAATTGTATCCAAATAAAACAAGAATAAGTTTAAAAATATTCAAGAACATATTTTTTGCAGTGCACTGATGGTTCATTATCAGTGGTAATGGTGTATTTTTGCAGTACAATACTGTATCAGTCAAATTTCAGACAATACATTTCTTTTTTACACAATGGTACAGTAGACAACAGCATTCTACTCCTATTGTCAAACTGAGAACTTTCCATTTCTATAGCTCCTGGTAAGCCTTACTCTACTAGTTTTTTCCTGAAATATAACCCACCATTTGGTGGGTTATATTCCCACCATTATAATTAACCCACCATTAACCAGATCCTCAATTACTGCTGGAGAAAAAGAGCAAACAGTTAAGGATTGGTGCTCAGGTAATCCTCCTAAGCCCACGTTCAAATGCAAATAAAATTGCTCACAAGGCACAGGGCGAGTGAGCTACCAATACACTACCAGGGGCTTTATCTAGAATGAGAGATCACTGTGTACTAGCATTTGAGTAATCTATTAGAATAACTAATAACTAATTCAGGTAAAGGATCAGAGTAGAAGGCTGGCCATACTGAAGGGAAATTTATAAGGCAATGGGAGAATTTCTATCAGATGCAACATGAGACACAGAACTCAGCAGAAAGACCAAACAAAACATGATAGACTTTCCCACTCAGCAATGTTATGAAGCAGTTGCTCTCTAGCACACAGATAATTACATTAACTCCACATTGACAGGCCTTATGCACTAACTGTAACAACTCCAAAGAAGTCAATCTGTGGAGGAGGAACCTGAACCCCCTGGAAAAAGACATCTTTGGTGGAGTAAGAGAATTCTGGACCAAATTCAGAGCGAAATAAAAGATAGGGAACAGGCAATATTGGCGATATGAAATACAATTGCGAAGCACAAAATCTGAAACAAAAACAGAGTTATGGCTTTACAAGAAACTGGAGGTCTGGGGAATACAACATCCCTTAGCTGGCTAACGCATTAAGTTGGCCCCAGCAGAGGTTGTCTGGCCCTCAAAGTAACTAGTAAGGAAGGTAGGTAGCAGGCGAAGACAATGGCTAACCAGGGCCACCATCTGGAGAAATCCTGGTGCAGTATGGCTAGAGTTGATCACACATTGAAAACTATTGTTTCCCGTGTTTTCTGCATTTTCACTTCACTTTCAAGCAGTAGTCTGTTTTACTTTGTCTAACCTTTCTGATTCCATTTCTCAGTTTTGGATTTCTCTGATCCCCAAGCTCCCCTCATAGTCAGCTTCTGATATTGGTACCCAATAGATCAGTGCTGGTTTTAGGAGCCTAGTATGATCCTTAGGGTAACATTACCAGAACAGAGGCACTGGGAAGTTACTGAAAGGGACCTTCCCAGAAAAATTATTTCTATATACTTATGTATATTTTATTATTTTCACTTCAGAAATATATTATTTTCACTTCAGAAATATATTATTTTCACTTCAGAAATATATTATTTTCACTTCAGAAATATATTATTTTCACTTCAGAAATATATTATTTTCACTTCAGAAATATATTATTTTCACTTCAGAAATATATTATTTTCACTTCAGAAATATATTATTTTCACTTCAGAAATATATTATTTTCACTTCAGAAACATAATGATTTTGCATTTGCATTTTTGCTGCAAATGCAGCAAAAAAATGAAGACCAATGTAATTAAATCACTGCAACACAGGATCAAGCCACAAAAATATTTCTTGTGGTAGATTAAAAGTACTACATATGCACATTTGCTAGCTAGTGTTTATACACTATCATATGATTACATGCAGAGTGATACCAATTAGTGACAACATACTTTATCCAACAATTTCACTCTTTTTAACATTCAGATGAATGTTAAAAAGTTGTAAAAAATTATTCTCACCAACAAATCATACTAAACATCAAAATATCTTTTTCCCCACCACTGGTAAGAGAAATATTCTAAATATAATGTGTATTCTGGCTTTAAAATGCAAGAAAAATGTTGCAAAGAAAAATCAAACTGATATACAGTACAGTACTTTCAGTGACAGCAGTCCAAGAATTTTTTTTTATACTGTATCAGTATAAGTATTAAGTTTAGCCAACAGTTGACCGGCCATTTTTTTTACTGTATTTACATAGTTCTGACTATGCTCATTTTCAATTTGAACAAGTGCTTGTTCAACTACATATTTAATACTATATAAAATATAATATTTGATGCAAATATTACACTACCAGAAAATGGATCACTCTAATAGATCCATTTACATTCAAGCAAGTTTTGCCTAAATAAAAGTACTGTACTGTACTGTATTTTGCTATGAGCTGTATTAAGACCTTTGGTGAAATAGTGTCATTCCAGTGTCATATGCAGTAATTTCCTTTATATGGATTATTTGATACTTTATATGAATAGCCAATAATGAATACAGTATTGATTTGAAAGCAGAAACATACCGTTGCTTGATGATACCAAAGAAACCCTCATGGTTTCCAGCATAATGTGTGATACCCACAACCTTCTCTGCCGATTTTTCAGGGCTACCTTTTTCATTTTCTTTATTTTTCTCCTTGCTTTTAGCCTTGTTTGGAGAATCACCATTACTGGTGTCACTCTTTGCATCATCCTGTAAGTTTACTTCAGCAGATTCCCCTTCAGCCTCTTGATTTTCTTCCTCTTCTGAGTGAGCATCATCAGAAACAGGAGCATCAAATTCTACATCAGCAGCAGCGTCATTTCCACCAAAATTCTTTACATCCTCTTCTTCAGCCTCCATTTTTATAGCAGAATCCTCATCAAGAGATTCGTCCTGCTGGACAGGGGACACTATTCCTTCTTCTTCCATCTGAAGTAATGAAATACGGATAAACATTGATGCATCAATTATGGAAATTTATGAGAAATTTCACGACATGATGTACTCCAGGGTACAGCCTAAATCCTATTCCATAATACTGTATTATGTAGTCAACATGACTTGCAGCATTCATAGTATATGAATCACCATTGCAATTTCACAAGCAAAGTTCATGTTAACAAAACTGAATGATAAAAATACAAATTTCACCTATAGCCATTTCAAGTTAGAATCAGAAATTTTATTCATAACTACTTATGCAAATCATTACAATAATGGCTGGACTAAACAGGTGTACAACAATCTAAATCAAAGTTTTTAGCATAAACTGAGTAACATTTATTTTGCTTACAATTTGAAAAGTGATACTGTACACTTGTTTTTTCCAGTATAATGTTGAATGTAAAGCAATGCTTATTTTTGGGTGAGCCCTGGTAGCTCCCTGAAGCTACCATCTCTGATGTAGGTACCATTCCCGATGTAGGTGCCATTAGTTGCGGAGTTCTATGGCCTACCAGGGACCAAGAGCCAGAACCTGACCTCCTCACAGAGGCTTAACCACTGTACTGCACAGAGTGCCCTAAGGCACTCTTTTGAGAGTTGTGCTATTTTTTTAATTAGGCTATATTTTAATATTTTCATCACTCTTTGTGTGTTGAAATGAAAATGGTTGAGTTTGGAAACATTTTGACATTAACTTTACCTGAACAATTATAAAAACAACAATAGTATGTCCTTAACAACTACACTATGACGGTTTTGCTGAACACAGGTGCACAGTGTGGTGCTTAACCACTGTGCTGCGCCAACCGAGAAATCTCGTTCTGAGAGTTGTACTATTTTTTTTTAATTAGGCCATATTTAATATTTTTTTATTGTTTTCATCACTCCTTGTGTTTTGAAATGAAAATGGTTGAGTTTGGAAACATTTTGACATTAACTTTACCTGAACAGTTATAAAACAACAAAAATAAGTCCTTAATAATTGCACTATGAAGTTTTTGCCAAAAAAAGGTGCGGAGTGCAGGGGTTAAAGAACCGTGACATTTATGCCACCACCAAGAAAGGCACCGAGTCAGGTTGGTGAGCATAAAGCTCACCAACCTGACAAACTGGAAGAATGAGTCACCAAAAACAAGAAAGCAAGAGCCTTAGAAAAGGAATCTCTGACTGAAGGGAATACTGTAAACCATTTAGAGGACAGAAAAGAAAGAATGCAATCCAAGGACCAAGTAGACTCATGCTAAGCACGAGCAGTCAAGAGGTGAAACAACGCTCAAGACGGCTTTTGAAACAGTGCTAAGGTAGTATCGATGCCAAATGCAAGCTGCAGTGGGTCCACGAGTGCCATACAATATAAAGCAACAGTATCAACATAAGATACCAATCAAGAAAATGCCAAGAAAGAAAGGAGAGCACCATATGTTTGTTAATAGAAGAACAATGATGAAGAGAAAGGAAGTGGTGAAAGGAGTGCAAGAAACCTCATACTGTCACCAAGAATACAATGGCAGGTGGGACACCATCAAAGTAGCCACCTGCTCATTATAAAGACGGTGACAAACTCATCAAAATGTTCACACATGAAGAGCAGAGGTCGAACCAGCAAAGTACATCACTAAGCTGATCCTCTAGGAATAGTGGAAGCCCCCGCCCCCAGGTTGATTTACTGACTGCACCCCCCCCCCCCATCACCCTAGGATGTAACCTCACAAGAAGCTGACTAACTCCTAAGTACCTACTTACTATTATTACTGCTAGGTGAACAGTTGCATTAAGTGATAGGAAATGCACCCAACCATTTCTGCCCCGCCCGGGATTCGAACCGGGAATTCTAGATTGTGAGTCGAGAACGAACCCGACAGTACTACCGGGACCCTTTTATTAATAGAAGTGCGCCTAGACAATTGGCCTATCCTAATTCCACAACTTCGTGCCGATAAATAGCCATCCGTGAGTGTACAGCTAAAGGGAGTTGATGAGGGCAGACCCGACTTCAACTTCAGAATATGACGCCAAAAATAAGGTGGAGCCAGAACGGGTGAAGCCTGGCCTTTGGCTGCCATCCCCGGACTACATCCCGCCAATATCACAATTCAACGCACACATACACTCAATCCTGCCCTTCTCGACCTCACACAACTGGCATAGCGTCATTTATGTAAATAACTACCAAGAATAATATATAGTAAGTAATAAGCTTGAACTACGTGACAAGATGCTCACCACGCCGTCATCTGCCTGCGAGCCCACTCTTGTTCCTTCACCACAACAACAAGCACACGAGGCTCACCCCCGGGCTCGCCTTTGGCTTAACTTCCCCACAAATTATGGTTATATATTTTCAAAGGTGTCTCAATAAATATTTATTTGTATATTTAATTATTAAAAGAATAACTAAATGGGACATTTGGTGCGATATAGTATAGTGAGATGTGCCAAGCTCAAGGTTTTCAGAGCCGAGGGCGACACGAACACTCAATGGTGTTTACGCCGCGGCGTGGTTCACATCCATCTCCCGCTCACCAACACTAGAGAAAAATATGAATTTTAACGAAATAGATTAGAAAAGATACAATCAGCTGCTTTTGTAGATATATGCATACGACAATATCATGCATCATAAACAATTACGTTTACAAGAGAGCTAGCGTTGCTTGATATTAAAAGTGTAAATCCTGGATTGCGCCGGTTTTCATTACCCGAATTTACCTTAGGTTACTATCTCTCTAGTGGCCTCGACAGGAACTAGAAGCTTGCGATTTGTCAAAGGTCTTCCCCATTGTTTCAGAGGATTTTTTCCAACTGGATTTTGAATTGAAGTAATGTTTTGGCATTTACGGCTTCGCCCGGTAGGCGGTTCCATGGTTTTAAATCATTTTACTTGAATTTATCTGAGGGGCCACTATCTCTGTAATGGCCTTGACGAGAACAGGAAGCAAGTGGCTTGTCGAAGGTCCACCCATTTGTCCTGATGACTATGGCGAGCTAGATTTTGAAATTCATCAGCATTTTGGCATTTACATCTTCGGCGGGTAATCGGTTCCATGGGTTTATAACCCCGTGGGTGAAAAAGCATCTCCTGTTTTCGGACGTGCATTGTGGCTTGTTGAACTAGAAACTGTTGCTCCTTGTTTGTGTTACAGTTGACCTTTTGAAGTTGTCTGGATCTATATCCTCCAAATTGTTCACCATTTTAAGTTTCGATGAGATCCGCTCTCTCATGTCTAGTATCAGTGTTGGTCACAACTCCTTAACAGTAGCCTCTGTTTACCCAACAGTAAAATGGGTACATAGTTGTTATACGATTTGGCGGGTCGTATTCCGGTAACATTAGGATTAAGGACTTGCCCGAAATATATATATATATATATATATATATATATATATATATATATATATATATATATATATATATATATATATATATATATATACATATACATATACATATATATATATATATATATATATATATATATACATATATATATACATATATATATACATATATATATATACATATATATATATATATATATATATATATATATATATATATATATATATATGTCGTACCTAATAGCCAGAACGCACTTCTCAGCCTACTATGCAAGGCCCGATTTGCCTAATAAGCCAAGTTTTCATGAATTAATTTATTTTCGACTACCTAACCTACCTAACCTAACCTAACCTAACTTTTTCTGCTACCTAACCTAACCTAACCTATAAAGATAGGTTAGTTTAGGTTAGGTCGGGTTGGTTAGGTTCGGTCATATATCTACGTTAATTTTAACTCCAATAAACAAAAATTGACCTCATACATAATGAAATGGGTAGCTTTATCATTTCATAAGAATAAAATTAGTGAAAATATATTAATTCATGAAAACTTGGCTTATTAGGCAAATCGGGCCTTGCATAGTAGGCTGAGAAGTGCGTTCTGGCTACTAGGTACGACATATATATATATATATAATATATATATATGTCGTACCTAGTAGCCAGAACTCACTTTTTGGCCTACTATTCAAGGCCCGATTTGCCTAATAAGCCAAGTTTTCCTGAATTAATATATTTTTTCTAATTTTTTTCTTATGAAATGATAAAGCTACCCATTTCATTATGTATGAGGTCAATTTTTTTGTATTGGAGTTAAAATTAACGTAGATATATGACCGAACCTAACCAACCCTACCTAACCTAACCAAACCTATCTTTATAGGTTAGGTTTGGTTAGGTAGCCGAAAAAGTTAGGTTAGGTTAGGTTAGGTAGTCGAAAAACAATTAATTCATGAAAACTTGGCTTATTAGGCAAATCGGGCCTTGCATAGTAGGCTGAGAAGTGCGTTCTGGCTACTAGGCACGACATATATATATATATATATATATATATATATATATATATATATATATATATATATATATATATATGTGACGGTAACGCGTTGGTGTTCGGCTGTTTCAAAAGCTAGGGGCATGGCCTCGTCACATAAAGAAAAAAAAAGAGAAAAGCTGGAACTTTCGTCTGTGGTATGGTAATGGGAAGACACACAAAACACAAGTAAATTTAACAATAAAATTTTAATTACGTTAGAAAAGCAAAACATGAATAAAATTGGGCATAAAAATGTAACAGGCAAATCAACAAACAAAATAATAAGAATAATCACTGGCAAATGAAAAGTTACGTTAAGACAAGTGAATAATAGCAAAGTAAATGATGATGCAGGAATATTGGCTTCAAGCTGCCACCTCCCTTAGTGCACGTAAGCCAAAGCTTAGTCTACCAATGAGATGTGTCAACTGTGTGGAGCACTAAGATATTCTGCCTTCCCTAGGTCGCTGTAGCTCAGACATCAGCTCGTGGTGGCGGGTGGTGGGGCAGGTGCGACGGGCACCAGCCAATCAGCGACAGGCAGGCGATGGACAAGCAGTTTGCCGGTTAACGGTGGTGGAGGCGAGCAGGTGCGCCGGTGGGCTGGATACGTTTTGCTCTCTGGGCAAAACGTTTTGGTGATACTTGTTGGATATATCTTTTATATTATTTGTTAATGGGACGTACTTTGGAGGGAAGAGCAGGCTCAATCTCTCTTGAAAGAGATTATCGTCACAATATATATATAATGTTGTACCTAGTAGCCAGAACCCAGTACTCTACTCTGCAAGACCCGCTTTGCCTAATAAGCCAAGTTTTCCTGAATTTATGTTTTTCTAATTTTTTTCTTAGGAAATGATAGAGCTATCCATTTCATTTTGTATGAGTTAATTTTTTTAAATTTGAGTTAAAACTAACGTAGATATATGACTGAACCTAACCAACCCTACCTAACTTAACCTAACCTAACCTATTTTAACCCAGCCTAAACTAACATAACTAATTAAATAATTTATGTTCTTAATATAATATAAGAATATTATTTAAAATAAACCAATATATATATATATATATATATATATATATATATATATATATATATATATATATATATTTTATATTTGAAAAAATTACCGTTTTGAATGAACAGCATGTAAAAATTTATGATCCCCCACTCCCATCCCCTCATCCTGCCCACCATCCCCCGTCCCCTCGTCCTCCCCACCATTCCCCACTCCCTCGTCTGATGTGTTCCCAAATGATCTGATGTTCCCATCAGAAAAAATGGGAACATCAAATGATCTGATGTTCCCATCACTGAAAAATAAGACGAACAGTTAAAAAAACGAAATGAAAAACAATGAAAACATAAAAAAATAAACTATACTCACGAAATGAACAGTATGGTAAACAACACAACTCAATTCCAATGCAATGTCACACAAAATAATTAAATCAAAATGAAAATAAATTGAAATCTATGAAAATTCAATTTATCAATGCAATCGGAAACATTGAAGTGGAATCGTAACATATTTTGTATAGTGTATGTTGCTGTTACTGGCAACAGATGGTGCTGTTTAAAAAAAAACATGTTTTTACCTGTCACAGGTGTGGCATCTATATAGTAGGTATATAAAAACATGCATGTATTTGAATGGAACGTTGTGTCAAAATTTCAAAGCAATCGGTAAAGAGGTTTCGGAGATTTCCCCTCAAATGAAAACACATGAAAAAAACTGTTTTTCAAAAAAGCATGTATTTTACCTGTCATAGACGTGACATCTATATAGTAGGTATATAAAAACACGCTCGTTTGCAAATGGAACGTTCTGTAAAAATTTCAAAGAAATCGGTGAAAAACTTTCGATTATCGGTTTTGAACAAACCAATATTTATATTTTTATTTATATAGACTAGCTGTACCCGGCCACGTGTTGCTGTGGCTCAGTAATGCATGTGCGTTGCTGAGCCACAGTAATGCAATCGGTAACGAGGTTTCGAAGATTTCCCTCACATGAAAAACACAGTTTTTCAGAAAAGCATTTTTTTTTACCGTCACAGAGGTGACATCTATATAGTATGTATATAAAAACCTGGTCGGATGCGAATGGAACATTGTGTGAAAATTTCAAAGCATTCGGTGAAGAACTTTCGGAGATTAGCGGTTATGCACAAACGAACATTTCCATTAAAAAAAAAAACAATCTATATAAATATATAGATTGTTGTAGATCAGCTATTCTGTGATATGGATGAGGATAATCTAGTAATTTATATATTACTTTAGATGTTATTCTTATCACTATAACATTCTATAATTAAAGTTATTGCCTAAGACAATTAATTACCAAAGCTTTCTCTCATATCTGTTCTTTTATGAATAAGTATTTGGAATTGACTCTAGCATGGAAAATATTATCTTCCAGTAGGATGTTACGCATTGTTATTTATTAATTAGATTCTTTCTGAGGAGGACATGGTCACAAAAGAAAAAGAAAGAGACGAAATACTGTGGATACACGAACATAAGGATCCGACTGTGACTAGAGACGAACGTTGACTATGTTCCTGAATTTCATCTCCCCATCCCTCTACTTCCCTCATCCTTTCCAATCCCTTTGGCCATCAAAGCTAAAGCTAAAGACTATGTTTCAAACCAGAACGGCTGAACACAAGTGGAATCTGACCACCGGAATGAGTCGAACGGATATTAGGAAGAACATCATTTTGAGGGGTGGCGAGGGGGTGAATACACTATGAATGAAATTGTAGAGACAAACTTCACAAATAGATTACATGGAAGTTGTGGGAGATCCACGTGGGAAGCAGGTGGATCCATCCCCGTAAACTCAACCAGAGGAGAATTAGTGATGTCTTCACATTACTCATGCTCACTCTCATACACTTGAGAAGGGAAAGGATCACATCAAGCACATATACAACTCTCCCGCCCCCTTCACTCACTCAACTCTCAGTACATTGACATT